AGGACTTTTGATATCCCCCAACTGAAGATCCCATTGGTATGACGAAATTATCTGCATGGGCAACATACGTTCAATCTGAGCGAAAGTTGGAGATTTCAGGATACCATCTTCTAGTTTGCGGTCCAAATTAGGATCAAGATGACCTTGTAGGCACCATCGGCTTTTGACCTTGAAGGTTGTTGGGTCGTTGGGATCAACATGTTGGTTCTCTTCAAGAGGCTTCCGAGTGATCACAAAACGACTAATGAAACGATGACTATTTATGGCTTCTGTTCGCTTACCATAGTGCACTTTGATGGCCCCATTCTCTATGAGTGTTTGCCATTCTGAGGTCTTTGATTCATCTACCAGGTGTTGAAGTGTTGGATCATTGTTACTGGGAGGAATCTCCTTGGACGTTTTCTTCTGCAAATGGTTGGCTACCAAGGCTTCACATGTCGGATCTTCTTGCCACTGCAGCATGAGATCGGAAACCTCTTGAACTGACAACACTTCTAACGGCTGAATCTACTTGGACTGACAAGGTCTCAGTCCTTGGACGAGGGGCTGGTGGCTCTTCAGCATTTTCACCAGGTGACCGCTTCCTCATATGGTCTTTTCTGACCGGCCTCTGCTTGATCTCCTTCCATCCTAGCCTCTACCATTCGGGGGACAACTTCTGTAAGCAGTTCCACAACATCATCTTGGAGCATGGCTGGAGGTCCGAAGAGTGCTGCAGGACCTGACTTACCTCCAACTCTAGGTCTGATGGGACCATGCGTGAAGTGTTCGGATTAAGAACTGGCAATGCTGGTTGCATTTTCCATAGGGGGATTTACCTATGATTTCGGGACTATCTTGGGGTTTATCATGACTTGAGGAGCCTTCACTAGGTGGTTCAGCAGCGGGCATGGCTACCAGATGCGGGTCGCCACCCTCTTCTGGCTTGTGCGGTGTTGACGCATCGGCAACTGCAGGCGCACTGGCGGGTGCTGCGACAACTCCACTGGGGGTGGGTGCTCCCTCTGGTGCTGGTGCTTTTGTTGGGTAATGATCAGAAACTAAACTAAAACCAATGAAGTTGGAACTGGAACCCTTGAAAGTACCGCCCTCAATCATATCTTTGATGCCTAGCAGTTCGGATTGGGGTGATTGAATATGAATCTGTTCTTCTTCAGTGGCTCTTCGGAGTTGTTCTGGCGCTACCTTGAAGATTTGTCTACGATGAGCTACCAAATAGTTGTTTCCAACTGACCCAATGATCACGGCAGTACATACCACCTACCCCGCAACTGAACTTGCCCTTGTTGAACTTTCTGTGCTCTCCAATAGGCTACTAAATCCCCTGACGCATACATGGGAGTGACCCTGGGTCAAGCTGCCAGCGCCCTGCGCAGTGACTGGTCGTCCTGCATCTCTAACACTGCTCGCTGTGCTGCCATTCGGACGGCCTGAGATCGAGCGAGGGCAGAGTCAGACAGGCTTGCAGTGGCTGGAACTACATGCAGGGGGTTCATCTAGAAGGTTTGCTGGCACTCTTGGGTTCTTACCAAACACATGTTGATGAGCGGTCCACCCGTATGACTGGACCATTTGATTCTTCACATGAGCATGTAACATACATTCCTCGCATTCATCTTTGGTGGATGGTGAAAACTCTGCAATGGTTCGGGATAACACGCGTGCAAACCAACCTCCATGGCGTTCGGTTTGGCCTAATTGGGTTGTGCTTCTGCAGCTGTGGGTTTGACTTCGGTCCCTTGAGAGTCAAGATATTGTTGAAATCGCTCACCCAGATTGGTCTGGGCTGGATCCATCACAAATACTTTCGGTGGACCAAAGATGCGAACCCAGCTCCGTGCGAACAAACTACGCAGGCATTCGGATGTCTCGGTTTGATGAAATGGCAGCATCAGCTGATAGCTGCTTCCATGGCACACTACGTTCCAGGCCTTATATAACCTTTTGGTTCATAGGCCAACCCTGCAAATTCTTCACATCAACGCCTACCACTTCATTAAACTCAGTGACATGAGAAGACTTGGACGGCAAGGGCACATGTGGCCGGACCTGTGATCGACAAAAGGCACAGGTATGCTTCCTGGCAAACTCTAAGGCTCTATCGGAAGCTTGTCCGTGTTTCAAAATGCGCACCAGGTCATGTGTGTGGATGGCCTAAGTTTCGGCGAAGCAAATCCACAGCTTTCTTGATGTCCTCATCGGAGGCTTCGTTACTCAAGGAATCTTTGACTACCAAAACCTCTTGTTCATGTTGAGACGCCCATGGCGGGCACTCCACGCACTGACTCTGGGACATTTCACGAAAACTTGGCACCGTCTCAAAGTCTGCTCGGACAAAAGCTGGAGTGCATCGGCCGGCATAAGTGCTGATCTTTCCAACTCCCTTACAGAAACCAGCCACGGGCTGATGACACAAGTGCTTCGGATGTTGGGACCCAAGACATTCTGTGGCTAACGCAGACATGTCATCATGACTTACCAACAGGTGTGTGGCCTTCTTCATCAACTTATCATCTTTAGGAAGTCGGAGATCATACCTACACATGTGGCATGAGAGCAGCTTGAACTGGCGAATGAGGACCCTCACCTCGGTGTAGGTCCGCAGGCGTGAGCCCTTTGGATGCCCCATCAGAACACGACTGCCATTGGCAACCTGTTGTTCAAAAAGCTTGCAACAAAACGGATGAACATACTGCTACGTTGCACCCTTCTGACATACTCGGAAGCATCCATATGGAGTGAGTTAAGGTTGAACCAACCTCCCTCGTCGGTGCATGGGGGACACAAAAGCAAGAGATTTGGAGGATTTTCGCGAAGCTCCTTGGCTATTTCAAAATCTGTCTGCAAATCGTATGACTTGCCAATGGCACCTACAGCTTGAGCCAGTGGAGCGAAGCGAGGTGGACTAAAAACTTCAGCCACCAAAAATCTCTTGCCATGCATCACGCTATGAGGTTCACTCACGGCCCTACCTACTTGGGATTGCAGCCGTCTCAGGTGATGGACAGACAATTGCTCAGCCACACACTGTTTCTCCTGAGGCGTGAAATGGAAACATGACTGTATGTGCATCACCTCTTTGGGGATGGGATGCTTGCAGAAGGAGTTGCCCTTTTGAGGATCAATGGCTTCATCAGCTAACACGGTTCCAGTCTCAACATCGGTGACTACCCTACGCTTTACTGAAGTGCACAATGGACCTTGCTTTCCTGGTACAGGCATCTGTGCAATATATGAATCATGCTTTACCCATGTCTGCAGAGGGCCTGGTGACGTCTCGGATGAACCAGACTGGCTGCGGGCTAGCTCTGGTTGTTCAGCGCACCAAAATTCTATGGGCCCATGCTCATTCTCAGGCACCTGGTCAATGTCAGGAGCTTCATTCACCCCAGGGACCCGGTCAGTCCATGGATTCAGACATGTGCACATCCTTTACAACTGCATCAAACTGTGCCTCTGCAGAGTCATCGGAACCGATCAGGTTCACCACAAACTGACCAGCACTATTCGTGACTAATGGAATGGGTGTGGCATCATCGAAGACTGTCATCTCTTGTCGGTCAAAATTGATCACCGCCTTGGGAGTTTGTAGTACCCATCCTGAAATCAGCGAAGGAGCTTTGCCATGCACCACAGCTGTACGAATGGTACCCGATCTGCCTCCCAGTTGAACAGGCATTTTGACCACGTATCGAGATGTCTCCTTCTCCCCATTGCCATAGCGAAAATGATTGGTTTCTTCAATCTTGCTTGGACAGGAAATACCTCGCTGCTCCCATCAGCGCCAATGATTGATTTTCCGCAGCCAGAGTCAAGGACACCGTATCCTGGAGAACTGGCCAGGAATTGTTCCTGTTCAGCAACTGCGGAGGATTCCATCTCAGAGACCAGGGGCGATCCAGTTTCATCGCATCTCGTTTGGCTCGAAGCCTGTCGAACACTGAGGGACACACGCCGACAGCCGCAATGACATGTTCCACCAGAGCTCCGCCAGAGGCATTGCTATGGCCCTTTGTATTGAAGAGGAGGATGCTCCCTTTCCTTGACCCTTGACTGGTGGGTTCTTGCATTCACGGGCCCAGTGGCCCATTTGATGGCACAGATTGCAGCGCGACTTGCACTTCAGCTCTTGGATCTCCACTTGGAAGGAGCGTGTGAGCTCCTTGGCCTGGGTGAATTTCCGGGCTCGTTGGAGTTTGTTGAGTTCCTGTCTCTTTTCTTTCCAGCTCACAGCTAAAGCTTCTGCAACATCAGCCTCTTCGAAGCATTCGATGTCGTCGCCAGTGGATTGATCATGGTCAGCTAGAAATTGTTCGATCTCATAAATATCCAGATCAGCTTCGTCATCATCACCAGCGCCTTCATCATCCAGTTGATGGTGTTCGACGATAGCTACAGCGTTGGTGCGTCGCTTGGCACATGCAAACTCTGGATACACTGATCGCATGGCTCTGCCATGCTCTGCCGATGCTCTCACGTTTGAGGTCACCTAAGCTTCTAGCCAGCTAAGCATACTGCCTTCTGCTCTTCATTCATTCCAGATCTATGCAAAATCAACCAACCTTGAGCTTCCACAGGAAATGTGACAGATACCTTTCGACGGCACTTGCCGAACATCTCAGTGGCACGAGATATCCAAGCCTTGACACCTTCGCCTTCTGCCGCTTTCAATAAGAGATCTTGGTGAGAACCTCGGTCATTTCATCGGACTGATCACGTTGCGGAAACCGCTCATCCAGTCTTTTGAAGAGTACCAGTTCACCACTTTTCTGACGATACCCAGTGGGCTCAATATGTTCTACACATTCCAAAGCCTTTCCAGCTAGACATGTGAACACGTATGCACCTCGAGCCGACTCCGGCACCTTCTCACCTAAAGTCAGCAGTTTGTTCTGAATCCAGGCCTTCCATGGCTTGTACTCCTTTGGATCTCCATTGCCCCCCGTCCCCCCGTGAAAACACGGGTACTTCCAGCATCCGCCGTGGATGAAGATGAGTTCATGGCCAATCCGGCACGGAATCCTATCCTGCCGGAGCCCCGAAGACCGGAGCTCTGCGCTACCAATTACAAAACAGCGAGTGAATCCTACCACCCGACAGCAGGGTGCGAACCCTTTTCATCCTTAGCCGAAAACGCTCCCTGAATGACAGGGGTGAAGTTTGAGATTCACCTGACATACCACTGGAGCCCATGGCCATGCAATTGACATATATAATACATAGACCATAGACACATAATTCCATGTAATTCCATGCAATTCCCAGTAATTCCATGCAATCCATGTGATTCCATAAAATTCCATAATGATACATCTTGCAATACATCATAATACTCCTTAGTCCATATTGTTGAAACAGGCTGCGTGTGGCAACCAAGGCTCAGACTCTCAGAGAAGCATCCGGGCCAATCGAAAGTCTTTCTGATCCGAGCCAGCCGGGCGGCACGTGTTGGTGCTCGCCCGAAGCTTAGCATCCAAAGGCCCAGAGGCGCATCTGAGGTGAAAAAGATGCACTGTACTGCACACATACTTTAAGTTCAAGCCAACAGAATCTATGATAAAATGAGTCAACTGAGGTCACATGAGTCAAATGAGCATCATTTTCACAATTTTCACAGTTTTTAAAATTTTTGCCTCGATGTTCTAAGTGCCTTGTCCCCAAGGTGCTGGCCGATTGACTCGTGTGTTGCGCGTGTGTCGCTGTTTCCTTGAATTTGACGACGAATCAAAGCGCCCGAAGAAGACTCCGTTTGAGCCGCTGCGTGAGGAGGCCAGGGAAAACTGATGGGGAAAACAGCGCGAAATGCACGGACCGTTTCAGGTTTTCAATGCACAAAAAAATCAAAAAACGGGAAAAATGGTAAAAGGTTTGAAAAACATGGAACAAATTTCAATTTTTTTGAGATGTGTCAAACGCAAGGAATGCACAAACATCTAGAACCTAGAAATATTCAAGCCAAGAAGGTCATTTGTTCGCATTTCGTTACTCGGTAAGGAGCAACCAAGTGCAAAAAAGAGCATTGCGAACCTTGGCACTGGTTCAGTTAATATGATATAATTAAAGATATATATCATATAATAGATTTATATATTATATAATTCTATATATATATATGTATATATATACATTTATTTGTATATTGTTTTCGGCCAACTTGGGACGGTGGGGGTGTGATTCAGTAGTCTCTGTTGAACATGTGGTTCCTATGAAATCTGTTTGGTAGCATCGGTTCTTTAGGACTGAGTCAAGCAGAGTCAAGCAATTCATAAGATGTTTCTTGCTGTCAAAAGAATACTCGTAGCATGCGTGCTTGTGCAAATCGGGCGGGAGCTTATGTGAGATCTGACAGTTTGCCGGGCTTAGGAAAGTCATTTCGGTCAGATTGAGTAATTTGCTGGGAGCTCATCAGCTTCTGGAACATTCAGCAACATTCGGCAACATTCTGCAAAATCACAGATGTCGGGGTCGCCCGCTCTTCTTTTTTATGGCTTTTGACATCTCCACAAAATGTCCAGGCTTGCAACCCGAGTTGCTGGTTTGACCATTTTTTTGGTAATGGCGAGTGCCTCAGAAATCTCAGAAGGAACACTTTAAGATCAGGGAGCCTCGACGGGGAACAGGCCTCGAACGGGCCTCGAACGGGCCTCGAATTTCCATCGATTTTAATGGCTCTGACTGGCCACCCAAAAAGCTTTGTGCACAAAGGCTTGCCCGATCGCGCAAGTAACCGGTAACCTTGGCAGCGCCGTCACAAAGGTGATGCCACTCTTCGATGTGATGTCTTTTCCACAGAAGGCTGCCGCTTTGTCAGCTTTGTCGGCTTTGCTCCTTACATGAGACGCAACTATTTTGATTGAATTGGCACAAACATTTTTTGCAGGACTTGGCTTTGGACGCATGGGTTGACCAGGCAGATCTCCTTGCAAGTGAAGATAGTGAAGCATTCATGAGGATGCACCGCGTATATAAATCCATGCGATCAATCAAAGATCCACCTTGCCTTGGTCACAGGATGTTGCGACAAAATGTCTTTTTGCAAAGAGGTCTCTCGTGCAAATGAAAGAGATGATGCGTCCACCATTGCCGAGTCAAGAGCTTGACACATTTGACACTTCATTGTACTTTGTAACATGTTTTGCCGTGCATTTCAACACTTCTTTTCGACACGCATTCGAGCAAGCTTCGTGTCAACTGTGCCATTTGTTCTTGCCCTGAGCCATATGTTGGCAATATTTTATAATATTTGATAATAAGTCTGATCAGAAAATTGGTCAGAACTTTGCTTAGGCTGCAGAAGATGGCAAAGTTCTTTTCCCGGCACAGTCATGGCCTCGTCATTTATTTCTGTACTGCTGTTGTTTGCATATTGTTATATATACACTATATATATAATGTATCATATATATATATAATTACATGTATATATATATATGGGTAAATTATAACGACCTCACTGCGACCTCACTGGAAATCATAGTTAATAAGGGAAATCATCCCCAAATGGCCTTAATTCAGGTTAGTGAAATATAATAATTTACCCAGATGTATATACATCTACATATATACGCATATGCATACATATGTATATATATATATACATTTGCACAAGTTAAGTGGTTGCTTCCCATATACATGTGAAATGATAGGGATGCTGGAGCAGCACGTGGTATTTTGGTTGTTATGGTTTTACGTATGTGATTGTTCGTGTTTGCTCCTCGGTTTTGACTGCTTTTGAGCTGGGTGGGACATTTGCTCCTGACGTTAACTTGATTTATGTGAATGCGCGCGCTCGTTCACAGTGTAGTTCATGAGTAGTGAGTAGTGCAAAACAAATACCAATATAGACAGGGATAAATCATGTTACAAGAGCTTGATAATATACCATCATACATAAGTTCAGTACAACACCTGCGCTGCTGTTGCGCAGCAAGAAACATAGTTGAAAGTGCAGGTCATGGACCTTATGCTGCTTGCAGTGGACGGTGGGTGGAGCCAGATGAGTTTCATTGCGAAAAGTACTATCAGGAGAAAACCGAGAGATACGGACAGATATGGAGAGAACGAAGCATTCAACAGAGCATTCTGTACGCTCTGGCAGTAGCCCTGCCATAACTAGAGATGCAAATTTGAGGCCCTCGTTCAGTGAAGTCATAGTTCAGATCAGACTCTCACAACTTTAACTTTTGGAACATGTGAAGATTCAGTGCAACTATGTGCAACTCTTCGTAAAAGGTCCTCCCGGAACCTTGGAAATAGCATGAAATAGCACAGTTCAAGTTGACTGTCCAGGACTGGGGGCAGGTAAATGTGGAACCCGAACGAAGTGCTTCGGCATTGCTCGTGCACACCAGAACCTTCTTAGTCAGCTTCGACATGACAAGGCGCCGGATGGTGCAGGTGTGCGAATGCGACTGTGTATATTGTGTATGTATTTCTCTGTTCAGGTTGGACCGAGTTTCAAACTGTTTCAAATATCAACTAATATCAAGTTTTTCGAACTGTCGGCGGTTCCGCATAATGCAAGGCCTGTGAAAGTGAAGGCTATAGTTTCGCTTCTGAGTAGCCTTTTTACGGCCAAGTCCTTGGCGAGAACTCAATCCAGAGGCATGAAGCAAAGTTAGGCAAAGCATTGCAGCAGTTGCAATGCTTTCACTGCTGAATATCACAGAATGCTTTCTTGAACTATCTTGCAAAGCTTTGCATTTTTCGCAAGTGGACAAGTGACCAAGGTGGTGGTGATGCTTTTTTTTGGGGTCGCCCTGTCGCAAATGGTCACTGACCTGGCTGTGACACCACTGGAGCGAATGCTCGGGACCTCTACCGACCATCCAGTTGCAGCATTTTGCAGCAAGGCAATGCCATGATTTGGATCGGAATGATGGCAATGAACATTCTTGAACCGCAGGACTGTGCGAGAGATAGCAGCGACCGTATTCAAGTTCAGCCGGAAACCTGGTTTGGAAGTTGTGCAGAGGAGTTTAGGCCGTTTAGGCTTGATTCATAAATCGATCGGAGGCTCTCTGATGGTTGGGCAAGAAGAGGATGAAGGTCGTTTGGAAGATACTACAGAGATTGACAACGCTGGAGAAATGATTCTGTTGGAGAAGGCAGGGTTTGTGCACAGGCAAGCGACAGCACTTTCATCTTTTTTTGTTGCATTATACTTGACCTGCTGACATTTCAGATGAGAGGAGAGGCGTCACATATTTTGGAGGGCTGCCAAAAACATACTAACAAGATGTACAAAATACGTGTTAAGAAGACAGAGCAGTCAGGCTGTCAAGCCAGTTTTATTTGGCCGTTGTATCCTGCTGAAAGTCATGCAGATTCTATCCGCACATTGTTTTTGTGCTTGTGGAATTGTGAAAGTATCGTGAGCAGTACGTGAACAGATGTGAACAGGACATCACATAACGTAAAATTTGGGCTCAAGCTTTGCACCATGGCACGGACTGCGAGGAAGGAGGCCTTGGAAGCCAAGCTACAACAGATTCTGAAACTCAAAGAGGAGGTCAAAGCAGAGATCTCTGCAGACTCAGAATCTGAAGGCAATGTTTCGGCAGTTTCAGCGCCTCGTGCTACTGGTCTCTCTGACAAATGTATTGTGACTTTTGCGGATGGACGTGAGATAAAAGTGATCATCGGCACCTCTGAGCACATCCAGGAGCCGCTGGTGGACCAGATTTGTCGCATCGTTGATGAAGCCTACTCGAAAGTGGGTAAGCACAAGCGTGTCGACAGGTACGATGCAGTGGATCGTTGCCTGGCTTTTTTTTAAAAAATCTGTTTATGTCTGTTTGCTGTTTGCTTTGTGTTTTCATATTTATTGAATCTATTGATCATGTCTTACCAACTCTTGCCATGAGGCGGCTTGGACTTTCTTGGGCTGGTGATCAACTGTATCAAAGTGATCCCTTCAGCTTGCTGACCTATATACATTTTCCAGGAAGAACTAGTTTCCATGAGTTGTTTCGTCCGCGTTTTCTTTCACAGCTCTGCCACCCTTTGGGTATCACGGCAAGTCTTTGGCTCGGTGTGAGAGTTGAAACCGTGCTGATTCTGTATGCCTAGGTTTGGAAATGGGTGATGCTGGTCCACAGGCAAATCGTGTTCTGCACCTTGCCTTCAAGGGAGATGAGTTGGTTGGCTGCGCCAGCTCCACCTTCAGTCCTGGTTGGACACCGGAGGGATGTGGCCACTGGGGACTTCTTGCAGTTGACCCGTCTCACCAGAATTCTGGCGTTGCTACTGCTCTCGTCATCGCAGCAGAGCGACGCTTGGCCACCATCTCTGGCGCCATCCAGATTGAATTTCAGTACACCGAGGGCGATTCCTTCTCTCAAAGGCGCGTACATGTCAGTGATATTCATTGATTGTGTCATAGTTCTGGCAACAATGCACAAAAATAAAGCAAGATATATCAAGATACAATATACGAATGGTACAATAAATTAATATGTATGAATATGTTATATAAGGTGCACATTTAGTTTAATGCTGATATGATGCATGTAACACAACAGAACATAATATGATATGATATACTGGATGTAATGAAATAGATAAATTGTAACATAAAATGATGTGATATTGATATAGCGTAGTATGGTACAATATGATAAAATAGTGTGTATATACATATTATACATAATTATATATATATACACGGTAACTAGGAGCACGGCCTTTAGGTGGCTGTGTGTTGTTTTGATTCATGGGATGTTGTTGATCATGTTTGATGTGCTCGTGCCAATAGGAATTCGTGTGATTTTTGTGTAAAGGCCGTCAACGCCTTAGTTCCAAACAGAAGAATGAAAACAGTCATTTCGCCTACACGAAACCTCCATTTTGGGGCTTTCTTCAAAGCCCCCAACTAATTGGTTTTCACAATTTTTCAGCCGTCATCATCTACTTCATCATCATCGTCATCATCGTCGTCATCATCGTCATCATCATCATCATCATCATCTTCATTTCTTTCATCTTCTTGATCACCATGGAGGTATGAACGCAACGCTCACTTCATTAAGAACCCAAGATGACGCAGGCGTGGAAGTCCAAGAGAACATAGCGTAGCATGACATATGCGTGGAAGTCTAAGAGAACGTGCAGTAGCGTGGCATGACGTATGTGCGAGAGAGCCAATGACGTTATTATCCCACCCCACCCCACCCCACCCCCCACCCATGACTACATGCCCCAACCGACAGCTACAGCGTAGCATCTACTTCATGTGCAAGTTCACATGAACGTTAATACATGCCCCACCCCACCCCACCCCACCCCAAACACCACGGCCGTCTAAAGGACGTGGCTGGTCCAACTACACACACAATATGATAGGAAATGATATGATTCAACATAATATGCTCTGATACAATATACTGCGACACAAGTGAACATACTTTGATATAATAGAACATACATTGAGTTCATATAATATACTTCGGTGCGCTATGATATGATATGATTGAAAATGGTATGATATCATAGTGTAAGAACGTGAAATGTAGAGTTACAGTGCATAATGTGTAGTGTATACTGTATAATGTACTGTTATCTGATATAGTACAACACAAGAGAATGTGACTTAACATAATATGATTACATCGTTATATAATGGCATAATATGTGCACATAATATATAAATTACAATACTACAATATGATACTATTATGTTAGATGAAGAGTCTAATACAATCTAGTATTCGGTAACATATTATATATATATATTACATAGTTTAATGTAACATGCTAGAATATTGCAGAAGAGAATATAATAGGATAGGATAATAGATAATGTAATATCATGAGATCCAATATCATATGCAATGCGATGCAATGTAGTGCAATGCAATGGAATGCACTGCAACGTACTGCAATGTAACGCAATGAAATGTAATGACATGAAACGCAATGCAAATGCAAATGCATGCAATGTAATGCACTGCAATGTAATGCAATGTAACGCAATGAAATGTAATGACATGTAACGCAATGCAATGCAATGCGATGCAATGCAATGCAATGTAATGTGATGTGGTGTAATGTAATGTAATGCAAATACACATGTACCCGTAGTGTCGTGTACATATGTTCATATTTATATATATATATACATAGTATGGTCTTTAATATCGTTAGCTTCTCCAGTTCGTGCTGTTTCATCTCAGCCGGGACAGGCTGCGAAAATGGTATGAAGAGAAGCTGGGCTTTGTTGGAGATCACTACCCATTGAGACCTGGACAAACCGTTTTCAGAAGATGCAGAAAACGCAACTGAACGGCAATCGCAATCAACAGCACCCACTAAGCCAATGTAGGCCATCAGTATCAGTCAGTATCAGTCAGTATCCACAATGCCATCGTGTCAATGAGCGGAGTTTTTGTGAGCATGTTGAGGATGTCTCATGGATGCCTCATGGATGTCTCATGTGTCTTTTATCCTTTTCTAACCGGTTCCTGGAAGATTTGCCTGGAACGTTGTGCTGCGCTTGAACGCTGATCTCCCCTGTCAAGATTCTCAAAATTCCGAAGACTCAAAAAATACTGTAATTTGTACTGTACTTGTAATTACTTGTAGTCCTAAAAACATTTGAGTAGGCATCTGAGGCATTTGAGACTCTGAGAGCAAAAAATCTGCGAATTCAGAACAGAGTTCAGTTTTTCAATGTCTGAGGCATCAGTGAATCGGACCAGCAGAAAGGCCACCTCCGTCGCTTGGAGGAGGGACATTCTCAGACGTTCGTCTCTCAGACGTTCGTGTTCTTCTCTCTTCTTTCTTTCCTCAGGTAAGGGGTTCTGTTCCATCATGATTTGCTGGTCCTTCCTGGTTCCGGCTGGGGTTCCGGTGCTTGTCTCCCTTCTTCTCTCTTCTTTCTTTCCTCAGGAAAGGGGTTCTGTTCCATCATGATTTGCTGGTTCCTCTTGGTTCCGGCTGGGGTTCCGGTGCTTGTCTCCCTTCTTTTCTCTTCTTTCTTTTCTCAGGAAAGGGGTTCTGTTCCATCGTGATTTACTGGTTCCTCCTGGTTCCGGCTCGGTTCCGGTGCTTGTCTCCCTTCTTCTTCTCTCTTCTTTCTTTTCTCAGGAAAGGGGTTCTGTTTCATCATGGATTTTTTGGTTCCTCTTCGTTCTTGCGTGGATTCCGGTGCTTGTCTCCCTTCTTCTCTCTTCTTTCTTTTCTCAGGAAAGGGGTTCTGTTCCAGCATGATTTCCTGGTTCCTCCTGCTTCGGGCTGGGGTTCCGGTGCTTGTCTCCCTTCTTCTCCTTTTTTTTCTCTTTTATTGCCTCGTATTTGTACTGTTGAAGTAATGAAGGAGTAAAACAGAAGACAGGAGTGTGCCAGACAGTTCCATGAATTTTGAATTGCACATGACCTTGGTGGAAACATGCGTTGTTGCTGTTTGGGGTCTATGCTGGTGTAATGTTGCATCTGTTGAAGGCACTGTTGAACATGTCGTTTTCAAAACAAATTTAAGAATACTCAAGACATCTAAGACATCTCAAGACGCTCTCAGTGAAAGCTGAAATTTCTTGAAGTTCCAGGAGATAGAGAACTGGTTGAGGAGTGAGATGACTAAAGAAGCCAAAGCAGCTACGGTGGCAAAAACCATGGAAGAGGAGGATGACATGGCTGACGTAGCCGACATGGAGTCTGAAAGTTCTGCAGAAGAGACGGAGGCATGCTTTGTTCATTACTTTGTTATAGTTGTTATAGCCTTGTTATACTGTGTTGATGTTGTATATGTTCCACAATGTTCCACATTGCACATGAGCTGTCTCGGTCTCTGAACTGTGCATTCAGCACCTCCAGTGCCTCTTGCAGCTTTGTGCAGGCGCGCAGTGCAATGCACACAGGCCAGTGCTTCAATTTGAGCGTGGGAAAAAATTGGGAAGAAAGGATCGCAGCATATCAGCGCTCCATTGCTGTTTGATTTTTGCCCCTTGAGGTGAACAAACAAGAGGAGGCTATCCAGTCAAGGCTGCTTGAAAGCGCCTGACAACTCAGAGAAAATGCATTCTCAGTGAGCAGATAGGCGTGGCTTTTGCCAGCACTGCGAAGCACTGTGCGATCAGATGTTTACTCACGAACTCAATGAATGAATGCTATGGCAGATCTAGATGCAACCCGGACCATATGGACATGGAAATGTGATCTATCTATACTGGCACGATGCCAAGATGTGATCTTCCAAATGTATTCTGGGCAATCCATTGTGATGAGCTCCCATTGCATGTGCCCCTTGTTCCTAATCATTCACAATCATTCAGAATGATTCATTTCATAATTATTCACAATCATTCATAGTCATTCATAATCTGTATATAAATATGATTACATATATATATATATATATATGTACTCCGTGCATCTCTGTGCTGCATTGTAATATCTGTCACATGATTTTGCTGAGCACTGCTGGCTTCCGCCTGCCAACTTTTCCAGAGCTGCTCCTGGCGCCGGTCTTGTGCAATGATTCACACGCCTGGGCGCGGCACCTTTCAGACATACATCTCAAAACAATTCAAACATATTCAAACCATCATCATAGAAACCAAACATGTTCAAACATAGAAACCACAACATAGAGACAGATAGATTCGTGGTGAGTTTTGTACCGTTCATATCATGTAGCCTGGACATTCCCTTGTGCATGGATTTTCACTGGGCCAGCCATAGTCGCGCGGCCTGTCGACTTTCGTTGATCTTTGTGCATAGACAAGCTGGACAAAGTGAAGCTGGAAGCCATTTGAAAACAGGATCTGGGCTCGTTTCAAAGTCTTCTTGGTGATACTCGAAGTGGCATCCGATAGCAGTGTAGCAGAACTGGCCATGATAGCCTCACGGCTTCACATAGCTTCACTATGCTTCAACCAGGTGGTGGAAAAGCTTGCCGCGATAGCGTCAGTCCAGACCAAGTCAGAGCGCGTACCTCGCAGAGAGGCGCAGACGTTCGACCGACAGTGTCCTTCTCTTCCGCGACCTGTAGTCTAGACAAGAGGCTTGAATAGGCTTGACATCTTTAGACTTTCCCTTAGGGCTTTATTTAAGTTTGCATGGGCTCCAATACTGCGGGTTGAGCATGGTTGTGCAACTATCAATGCTCGTGTGATCTCGTGTGTTTGGGAACAGTTCTTTGGTTCATGTCCAGGACATGGATGAGGAGGACCTCGGCGTTTTGACCATGTTGGCCGGAGCCAAGTCTATTCGAAGCTCTATTGGGTCAACCAGCACCGACCAGGAGCACAACGGAGTACATGCAGTCAGTACGCTTTGCTTCAAATGAACATTTGTTAGAGTTATGAGTTGAGATTGTGGCCAAACAATTATTTTATTTTTTTTATATTTGTATATATTTATATGTGTGTCAATTTATTCCGTGCGTGATTTCACTGTGAATCGACTATGATTTAAGTCATGAAACAAACGACATGCTTTATTTGTTTAACGATCTCACTATATACTATATATATATGTAATTATATAATATTATATATATATATACAATATGTACATATAGGCTCGTCCCCGCTTCTGGAACCACATGGGGTGGAGGGGGTGGGGTGGGGTGGGATGTTAACGTTCATGTGACCTTGCGGCAGGATGTTAACGTTCATGTGAACTTGCGGCAGCAGTGGATGCTACGCACATGCGGGGTGGTGGGGGTGGGGTGGGATGTTAACGTTCATGTGACCTTGCGGCAGGATGTTAACGTTCATGAACCGCGCAAACCTGAATTAGGTTGGTAAAACTTGTCCATTCCGTGACGAAATTTCGTCGCGGAATTAACAAGTTTCATTGGGGTCATTATCATCATCATCATCATTATCATGATGATGATGATGATTATGATGATGATGATGAAGATGATGATGATGATGATAATAATGATAATGATGATGATGATAATGACCCTAATGAAACTGGTTAATTCCGCGACGAAATTTCGTCACGGAATGGACAAGTTTTACCAACCTAATTCAGGTTTGCGCGGTTCCAGAAGCGGGGACGAGGCTACATATACATATATATAATTGTAGATACAATATGTATATATCTATATACACAGATTCTTGCCAGTGGAACAGGTACGTGTTTTCCTTCATAAGTGTAAGATTCTGGATTTGTGATTGTGATTGTTTTTGACTTTGCGGCCGTCCTCTGTACCTACGCTTTCCACCACAAAACGAATATGAAAAAGGCTGTTTTGTTCAATGAACATGTCATGATTAATCCTATGATTTCAGACTGTCCTTTTTTTGTGAGAAAAACAAGCTCATACAAGTTCATACAAATTCGTATCAAAACTTTTGAGATTGACATCTACTGTACACACATGTTGCATATGTCCAAAAACACTAAAAATCGAGATAATAATTTTGATCAAAGTCATGTGGTCACATGGCATGAACATGGCAGCTTTATAAAATGGATTGTTTGGCACAATCTCAACCCATAGCGCTAGAGATGGCAACCGTGCACAGCGCAAATGGTTTTTGTTTGACTGCAATGAGATTGCATGGATTGGAATGGGTTCGAATAGTTATGTGTACACTGTGTACATTATGACCATACGAGTTATGATACTTCTTTCAGCCAATTCTATCGGCAAGCCTGAAACTCCGGCAGGAACATTCGAAGCAACGAGATGTGTACGTGAGGTCTTTGCCTTAGCTGGCGTTAAATGAGATCCTTTGCAAGTAGAGATCCCCAGATGGAGGTTTGGAAGATCTTCCACTGAATCTTCCAGGAAGTCCGCAAACTTGGGCCAGATTTTAGGAATTTTCAGGACAGGGACAATGTCATCCCGAAGCTTTGAAACTTCACATGTCAGAAACAGCACTATAGGGCACAGGTTTGGATATTCCATGTGTCATGTTTTGTCACTTGTCCGCATGGTTCTGCTAGGCCAACTCCGCTCTTGAATCAAGAAGCAAACGGTGTAGACGAAGACACCTTCAACAGCGCAGCCTTCTACGTGTGAAGAGCTTGGCCGAGCTTGTCCCTGTTTGCCATGTTGGCCAAGTTGTTCCACTTATTGTTGGTGGTGATGGCACTGGCCAAGGTATGATCTCTCCCCAGCTCAGCAAAACAAGCTGGCAGTGCATGTTATGCTCTCACATAGTTCGGGTGCGGTGCCCAGCCACGGTTTAGGGAGAATTCGACAATTTTGTGATACTTTTGGATGTATGAAGGTGCACACAACCTTTGTTTCTACAGCTGATTCCACATCTCAGGCGCTGCTGTTTTTAAAGGAGACGAGAGCGATGAAGCTTTGGTTGCAAGATTCGTCTCCGGGGTGCAGAAGGCCGTGCTTGGACAGAGCAGTTTGATGCATCGCTGATGTTTTGAGTGATGTTTGTTGCAATATGTCCGCTTTCTTTAACACATTGAAATGTTTTTGTGTTTGTTTTTGTTTTCTACCCCTATGTCATACTCTTTCACTGTTTTTGCTTACAATAAGCTAGTGTTGACGAAGAATTGGCTTCGTCCAGCTATCCTAAGGGCAATGAACTAGTTGCAGAGTCTCAGCACTTTTGTTATGACAATTGCAATAGCAACACAGCACACAGGGCCGGAAGAGCCAGTATTGTGACAATCAGTTTCTGCTTTGCTCGAGATTTGTCATATTCTAGAAAAGATCCATGGTTGTGTGCATGAGAAGGACGCCTCGTCCATTCTCAAGAGCTTCACTATGAATAATGCATTGCCAATTCTTTGTACGTATAATGTAATTAACATGCGCAATCATGCAATATCATGCATATGTAGTTGCTTTTCTGTGCCTGTAACTGTGTGGCCAGGGGTCTCACAGGGTTTTAATTTCTTGCTTTCGGTTGCTTGAGATTGGAGCTTGACCAAGCCATCCTGCTTCTGTCAAATTAGACACACCTGCACTGCAGTCAAGAGATAGACACTATGCTATCAACAAAGCAAGTCTTGGCTTGATCCTATTCCTTGTACTCAAATGTTGTCAAAAACATCTACTGTATTAAGTCTATCCTCGAGCAAAGCTGCTGGTTCACACTGGAGTTTGCAGAATGGTGCGGCAGGCGTATCCGGAGAATCCGTTCCATAATTTTGGCCATGCGGTAGATGTTCAAGCTGTCATTGCGAGGGGCTCTGACAGATTCTTACTCAAGCTGATCAGAGGTTGGACATGGCAACATATCTAATTGGCATCCGCAAACATCCTATTGCAAACAGTCAGTGGCCTAGTAGCAAATGAAACGAATGAAACGAATGAAGGAATTGTGTCTCAAGGTAACGACTATGAAGCTGATGGAGGCAGACAAATTTCTCAGCAACTCGACTGGCAGCACCGTTAATTTTTCGTCTTCCGTCTAACTACAGGCAACCTGTACCCTCTGATGTATCGTGAATTGTTGTGATATACATACATACATACATACATACATACATACATACATACATACATACATACATACATACATACATACATACATACATACATACATACATACATACATACATACATACATACATACATAATACATACATACATACATACATACATACATACATACATACATACATACATACATACATACATACATCATACATACATACATACATACATACATACATACATACATACATACATACATACATACATACATACATACATACATACATACATACATACATACATACATACATACATACATACATACATACTACATACATACATACATACATACATACATACATACATACATACATACATACATACATACATACATACATACATACATACATACATACATACATACATACATACATACATACATACATACATACATACATACATACATTGAGAGACCCACTGCCTGCTAAACATCTGGAAGAGCAAACCGATACCAAAACCTATGATTTGTGGTGCAGGAAGGGTGGCGGAACTGGGTGGCAGGACATTAAGGCTACTGATTTGTGGTGCAGGAAGGGTGGCGGAACAGGGTGGCAGGACATTAAGGCTACTGATTTGTGGTGCAGGAAGGGTGGCGGAACAGGGTGGCAGGACATTAAGGCTACTGATTTGTGGTGCAGGAAGGGTGGCGGAACAGGGTGGCAGGACATTAAGGCTATTGATTTGTGGTGCAGGAAGGGTGGCGGAACAGGGTGGCAGGACATTCAGGGTACTGATTTGTGGTGCAGGAAGGGTGGCAGGACATTAAGGCTACTGATTTGTGGTGCAGGAAGGGTGGCGGAATAGGGTGGCAGGACATTAAGGCTATTGATTTGTGGTGCAGGAAGGGTGGCGGAACAGGGTGGCAGGACATTCAGGGTACTGATTTGTGGTGCAGGAAGGGTGGTGGAAAAAGATGGCAAGGCATCAGTGCTATTAGTGGTGCACGAGGGGCGGCTGAGAGGGATGAGGGGTGATGAAAACTATTGATTTTTGGTGCCTGACAGGTGGCTGAAGAGGGTATTAGGAGGGCATCAAAGCTATTGAGTTGAGGTATTTTGAGGTGCAGGACGGGTGGCAGAAAAGAGCAGCAAGACATCAAGCCGACGGCGCATGAGATGTAGCACCCATGGGCGTCAAGGAAAAACTTTGTTCCTTGACAAAAATCAAAAAACACAATGACAGTGACCATGCTTGGTGCTATTCCATGTTCACATCTCACTTGCCCTCGGCTTCTATGGAAGATCTCCGAACTAATGCCCGCTGATGGGTGTTGATCCGCGCTGATCGGCGCTGATCCGCGCTGATCGGCGCTGATCCGCGGTTAGTACTCGCTGATCCGCGCTGATCCGCGCTGATCGGCCCTGATCCGCTCAGTGCCCGCTGATCCGCGCTGTTCCGCGCTGGTCCACACTGGTCCGCGCTGGTCCGAGCTGGTCCGCACTGATCCGCGCGGATCAGCGCTGGGCCGCGCTGGGCCGCGCTGATCCGCGCTGATCCGCGCTGATCCGCGCTGATCCGCGCTGGGCCGCGCTGGGCCGCGTTGATCCGCGCTGGGCCGCGTTGATCCGCGCTGATCCGCGCTGATCCGCGCTGATCGGCGCTAAATTCTTGGGTATTCTTGCTTTAGATCAGCGCGGATCAGCGCGGATCAGCGCGGATCAACGCGGATCAGCGCGGATTAGCGCGGATCAGCGCGGATCTGGGATTTTCGGAAGCAGTCAAGTTGGCTCGGACCAATTTTCCATGTTAAACTCGATTTTTCATTGTTTTTCTCGATTTCTTGATGATTTTCATAGATTTCTCACTGGGTTTCAGCGGTTTTCATCGATTTTTCGATGGTTTTCATTGATTTCGAGATTTTTACGGAGTTTTCCATATATATATATATGGTTTCATCATTTTTTTTACCGATGTTCTGTATTCTCGTCTCAATCGATTTTCCATGACCGAGTATCTTGAACTCCCACAGATTTTATCCAACATGGATCAGCGCAAAGGTCCACAGTTTTTCCCCAACAGCATAAGCTGACGGGGTCTTCAGCCCAGAATATAGCTCCGGTGTGCACTGGTGCAGGCACCGGGTCAGGTTCAACGAGGTTCCGGAGAAGGTTCCGAAGGTTCCCGACAAGGTTTGGGATTTGGTGCAGAGACAGGTCAGGTTCAACAGGGTTCCGGAGAAGGTTCCGGAGAAGGTTCCGGGAGGCTTTGGTGCAGAGCCAGGTCAGGTTCAACAGGGTTCCGGAGAAGGTTCCGGAGAAGCTCTTGGGAAGCCTTGGTGCAAAGCCAAGTCAGGTTCAACGGGTCCCGGAGAAGGTTGCAGAGAAGGTCCCGGAGAAGGTTTTGGGGGAATCTTTGGTGCAGGGCCAGGTCAGGTTCCAACAGGTTCAAAATGTTCAAAGGGTTTCCAGCGCTTGGTTTCGCAGCACGTTTCTGAAAGATTTGTAAAAATAAAACGTTGTGGCTGTTGGGGATACCACCGAAGCTTATTTTCTTTATAGTTGCTTGCCTGCATTTTTTAGCCGCATTTGTACAGTATAATTATACCCTTTAAGCACTTCCACTGACGGAAAAAAGTCTAGAACCCAAACTATTTCGTGTGTCTCTGTTTCCCGGAAACGGGTTTTGGCACGAATAATTTGAAGAAGGAGAGGGTACGCTGAAGTTGCTGCACTTGGGGCTCAGTGATGCGAAGAAAATTTCACCAGCAATCGGGCAGACATGGCAAATCAACATCTTTGATTGCATAATCAAAACCCGTCACTGTAAAGTTGTTTCTTTAATTTTGTCCAAGCGGGGACCGCATTAAGAATTATCAACGACTTCTCCGGGACCAAAGAATTTCCTTGACGCTCGGATTTTCCTGCTTCAAATCCATTTTGCAAATGTTGCATTTCTGAAGGAAAGTGTTCAAGACACAGTGACGGGCAGGCAAACCGTGCGGAGGCTGAAAAAAACTCATGAAAAACGTAGACAAAATATTGTTCCGGGCGTCAAACATCAAAAAACTTAAGGAGAGAGAACTTTTTGCGCACCCAAAGTTGCACCAATAATTGGTGAACCCCGCCGCCCTCCCTGCCACCCTCCCCGGCCACCCTCCGAGCACCGCTTTTTGTAGGGATGTTTAGCAGCCACTGGTCCTACCAATACGTACATACACACATACATACATACATACATACATATGTGTATATATATATATACGCACAGAACCGCACGTTTGCCCGGAGCCTGTGTTTTCTCGCACGAAACGGCCCTTCTTTTCCACGGACCCCCACGAAGTCTGCGAAGGGTTGTTGCCGCAAATTGTTGTGAAACGAGCCATGAAGCAAATTTTGTGTCGTACGCATGGCGAGGGGCCACACCTAGTGTACCGTCCATCCCTTGGCGATTAGAACCGTGGATGAAACATGTGTTCAAACCGTGGGAAAAATGAGATAGATTATGTCATCATGGGCGAACAAACGTTAAGTTCTGCAGGATTATATACTGACAGATATGCCTACAAAGGCCAGGTGCAGAGATGTGAAAAGATGTGAGATCCAGGGAAGCAAGAGGTGCACTCGCATTGCTTGCCTTGGTTTGCATGTTTTTCCCTTTTTAAAGTGTGTTGATTGTTTTTTGCATGTCAGTAGAATGATTCGATTTGATTCTCAGGTAATCTTGAACAGCTCCCATCTCAGACTCAACCGAATGTGCATATTGGGTCACCTCAGTGCAGTGCTGTGCCACCTTGACCATGGTATGCTCTTGCAATGGTCATAGCACTTGCAGATACGCTCACTTATAGCAGTAGTACCGCACAAGGCGGTGGCGGAAGTTTCAAAAATAGGAAACCTATAGGAGAGGTTGGTTGTTGTGAATCACGGATTGAAGCCACTGATGGACCGAAAGGTGGTTGAGGTCTCTTCTCTTTCTCTCTCTTTCTGTCTCTTTCTCTGACCATCTACCTACCTACCCACCTACCCACCTATCTATCTATGCATCCATCTATCTCTCTCTCTCTGTCGTGTAGTGCAGTGTGGTGTAATTAGTGTAGTGTAGTGTAGTGTAGTCTTATATAGTTGTAGTTGTAGTTAGTGTGAGGTAGTGCAATGTAGTGTAGTGTAGTGTAGTGTAATGTCATTAGTGTAGTGTAATGTAGTGTAGTTGCAGTTGCAGTTGTAGGTGTAGTGCAGTGTTATTCAGTGTAGTGTAGTGTAGTGTAGTGTAGTGTAATTAGTGTAGTGTAGTGTAGTGTAAATGTAGTATTGTTGTAGATGTAGTTGTAGTTGTAGTTAGTGTAGTGTAGTGGAATGTAGTGTAGTGTAATTGAGTGTAGCGTAGCGGGGTGTAATGGAATGTAGTGTAGTGTAATGTAGTGTAGTGTAATGGTAGTGTAGTGTAGTTGTAGTGTAGCGTAGTGGAGTGTAGTGTAGTGTAATGTAGTGTAGTCTAGTGGAATGTAGTGTAGTGTAGTGTAGTGTAATGTAGTTTAGTGGAGTGTAGTGGAGTGTAATGTATTGTAGTGTAGTGTAGTGGAATGTAGTGTAGTGTAGTGCAGGGTAGCAAAGTGTAGTGTAGTGTAATGTAGTGTAGTGTAGTGCAATTGAGAGTAATTGAATATAATTGAATGTAGTGTAGTGGAGTGTAGTGGAGTGTAGTGTAGTGTAATGTAGTGAAGGTGTAGTTGTAGTTGTAGTGTAGTGTATTGGAGTGTAGTGTGGTGTAGTTGTGGTTGTAGTTGAAAATGCCACAGTCACGTTTTGCTCACTTTTGACAAGATCCACAATCCCTTGCACCTGCCACGCGGAACGACATCTCAGCGTCCAAAAGTGGTCCGAACCCCTGGTGTTTTTAACATTTTGACTTCGAGATGTGCTTCGCGCCACAACGGCGTGCACTTTTTCGACATCTCAACTTCCAAAAGTGGTCCGACACAGGTGTTGTGTACATTTTGACTTCGAAATGTACTTCGCGCCACAACGGCGTGCACTTTTTCGAAATCGCAACTTCCAAAAGTGGTCCGATGCTGGTGTGTTTTGTACATTTTGACTTCGAAATGTGCTTCGCGCCACAACGGCGCGCAATTTTTCATCTCTCATCTGGCCAGATGGCTCCGCACCCGCCGCTTTAGCGAGCCTACTTTTCGACCCTCCGGAACACGCATATCATTGGAAAAACAGAGTGTTTCGCGACTTTCCTACCTTTTCGCACATCTGCGTCTTCTTTCTTCTGACTCTTTCTCTTCTATCATCTTCTCTCTTCTACTCTTCTCTTCTCTCTGCCTCTTTCCCATCTCTGCTTTTCATCTGTCCATATTGTCGGAAGTTTGACTTCTAAACTTCCGTCGATAAACAGCATTTGACAGAAGTTGCATACACTTGTAGCATTTGGTGGGCACTACACCGCTTTCATCCGCTTTCCAAGTACGAGGAGGGGATGACTGGTGTGTGTGTGTGTGTGCACTTGTGCATGTGTTCCTTTCCTATGTCCGAAATCATTGACCTGTTTCATGATTCAGAGACGTTCAAGGAGAAATCTTGTGTGCTTGAACATGCCTGAACCAAATTGTACCCCGTTCACCTGAGCCTAAAGCGCCTAAACTCGGTCCTAGCTCCTGTGTTTTTCCCCAAGAGTTTGCACCGTTTGCGCTGTTTATCGCCGTTTGCGGTGTTTTGTGCCCAGGTTTTCGTTGCTCGTGGCTGGAGTGGGACATGATATCGGTCATCTGGGCTTGAACAACGGTTTTTTGTCGGAGGCAGGGCCTGGCAGGATGGATGGTGAAAGGGTGCAGCCAGGGGTGCAGCGCCCTGCCTACTGCAGATGCAGTGTGCAAACACTCTCAACAGAGTCCTTAGAGTCTGGGGAGTCCAAGAGCCTGAGCTCTCAGGAGTCACTGTTGTCACAGTGGTTCGAAATGCCGTTGTTCCATATTGTTCCCATGAGCTTCCCAGCCCCACAGAAAATGAGAGCTGAGGAATGCAGAGAGAAATGGCAATCACGCTGCACTTTCTGTCAGGTTGGCCATGAGCTGGCCATCAAGTACAATGACAAATCGCCTTTGGAGAATATGCTGCTTGAATTTGATTCAAACTCACTTAAGTTTAGCATGCAACTTTTGCCCTGCAAGCCTCATTCAAGTGTGATGTCACTTTGAGGCACTGCTCTACACTCTACCAACTGCTGGGAAAACCTGAGACGAAGCTGTTCGCCCATTTGAGCCCGGAGGACTACAGGGAGGCACAGCAAAGTCAGTGGTACAGTAATCAGTGCACAGAGAGAGAGAGAGAGGGAGGGAGGGAGGGAGAGAGAGAGAGAGAGGGAGAGTTTGAAAGATATTTTCACATATTTTCACAGTAATTACAAATAAATATAGTTTAAATATATTTGAATAGAGGGTTTCAATGAGTTCCAGTTAAAGTTGATGTACAAAGCGAAACAATGGGTGAAACCAGGGGAACTGACTTTATTTGCTGCCAGGTGCGCAGAATATGTGTGGAGGTCATCCTGCACACTGACATGATGTGTGGGGGTACACAGGGCACACCTGCACTGATGGGGAGAGCCATGGAGAGCTTGTGCAAGTTGCGTTCCTTGTGAAAGTTGATGTTCTTAGCCAAAGGCACAGCAAGCTTCTCAGAGAGCCTTCACGGCTGGACAATTTCTTGACATGTTGATGCACTGAAAACATCTAAAGTTCTTACACAAAGATAGTAACAGGGAAGGCTTGATATGTATAGTATCGGCATATCATGTCTGCAGATTTCCATTTAGTTTAGGTTTGTCCACATCAAGTTTGTATGTGATGAACAGTTTATCGAAGTTGGATCAAATGAAAACGCTGAATCTACACCTGCATCATTTCCTGCGAAATGCAACCACATGAAATAGCTTAGATTGAACAAACAATATCAGGGAGCAGCTGTGTGTGTGTGTGGAAAAGTGATGAAAAGTGTATCATCTCGATTTCTGATGATTTCTGCCTGTGCCCGTGTGACCTATCCCATCCTATCGCGGTCTTTGGTTGTCTCTGCATTCTTTGCCAACTCAGGCCATCAGAACATGGTCAAAGACCTCAATTTGTTGTACCAGATGAACTCAGAGGCACTTGACACATCTTGACACATCTTGACACATCTTGACACATCTTGACACAATTCAGAGCTATGCGATGCTATGCTCGCTGCTGGTTATGCTTTGCTTATCTTTGCTTGTAGCTTTTCTATGCTTTTCTCATGTTTCTCACATTTTCTCACTTGGTTTGCTTGCTGCCTTTTTAGACTAGAAGTCAAGTATCTCTATGCATTGCAACAGTGGTGCTGCCTCCAAGCACCTAAGCAGAGTAGGAGTCCAAGATGTAGAAGTGTGAAGCGCCGTGAAACATTCTGATTCGGGTTTTGAATGGTTTTGAGCACAGACAGAATTCCGACATGTCGAGCTGATGAGCATGATGAGCTGGTACACGATTGCATCGCAAGATTCGGCTCTCACTGCGAAAGTTGAATGAGTCCCTTACATCCACTTCTCATGTCACGCAGTTCATACAACCACTTTTCCATCAAGGTATGATCACCATGATTGAAATGTCCGTACTTTTCCACTTAAACTCATCTCTCCCACCTGCGCATCTTGCACCGCCAGGTTCTGCGACCTTCAGTGGCAGGTTCTGCTACAACAAGCCGAAAGTCCAACTGCTGAAGCCTCAGACTTCTGACTTCACTAAACCATACTGCCATGCTAAACCTAGCATGTCCATTTGCAGTCCATATGCACATCCTGATGCACATCCTGGCACTTGCTCACAGCCAAGGGAAGCGCAAAACAATGAAGGAACAACAAACAGATCCGCTCACTGTCTTTGGTTCGCTGGAAGCCTCAGTTCACTTGTGATGTCCGGCTTCAGGATGCTGCAGTCTCTGTCCCTGTCTGTCCCTGCTAAAAAGCTTAAGGTCTGAGAACAAGATGCTCGTAATGGACGCCATTGTGCATTCAGCCGATGTGTCCAGCCCTTTGGGTGTTTTGCATGGAAAGACAACCCACCACTCTAGGACTCCAAGACGAATTGGACACTGCATCCAATGACATCCAGTCCACTGGAGAAAAAAGGTCCTCTTGAACATTTTGAGATATCTTGAATTATTTTGAATTATTTTGAATTATTTTGAACACGTCTGAACTGCATTCGATTTCTCTGGCTTGAGAACTTGTGAGGTCAAATCCTGCTCGAGAATGGTCTGTTACACAAGCTTGGGCTGACAGATGCCTGGATGAGTTCTTTGCCCAAGGTGACCAGGACCGGCGCAGAGTGCCAAACACATCTTTGATCATCTTTGCACATCACCTTCACAATCCGTCACAATCCTTCACAATCATTTGATCCCTTCACACAAATCTGTTTCATTCTTTATTCATTCTTTATCAATCTTTATCATGCTATATCTATTTGAATCTACGTATTTCCCAGATTTTTCCAGTTGTTTCTTCATGGTGTCGTTGTCACCTGATGTCGAACTATATATCTTGGAGGAGAAAGCTCAGGGTCTTCCTGTTCAATTCCTGAACGATAGGGAGAGGTGCCCTTGACATGTGCAAATTTTGGTACAGGCGTCACAGACGTCCTTTGTGGCGTTGTTTTGATTCAACAACGGAGATCAATGGAGATCTATTATGTAATCATTATGATTTATGGAAGTTTAGTGAACTTCACATGGTACTCGTAGCTGCATGTAGCTGCGGTAGCTCACTGAAAAGACAAGGACGCGGGCTTTTACGCAACTTATGTTAGCTTGAGAGTTCCCTGAAACAGCTCAGTTTGCTGCTCGCATCTTTTTGAATCTGTTCATTCTGACATGATTTTCTAACCGTTTTGACTCAGGTCTTGACTGATTCACATATTTTCGCTGACCTTTACATATCTTTACATGCTGTGACGTTGTCAGGTTGAGCCGCCCAAATTCTCAGATCGGCTTCATTGAGCTTCCCGGCTGAAAAATCCAGACACTGGCTGAGAAAGCTTCGGCGCTTCGTGCCTTCGGGGCAAATTTGTTTTACGTTCAAAGGCATCCATGACAGCCCTTGACACTCCAAGGCGTGTGCAATAGCAATTCTCTAATAGCGCCGGGCAGCCTGTGCTTCCTTTTGCTGGCTGTCAAGGTTCATGATAGCTCCTCTCTTCGCCGCGCAGATTTGGCCCGCTGCTTTGATACCGCGAAAGTGCAGCGTCTTTTTTCCAGAGCCGATGACAGCACAGAGAACTTGTCACAGATGACAGCCGGTGACAGCATACATTTCATCACATTTCCGCTTTTTCAATGTAGGTTGTGGCCCATGCTTTGTGAATATGGAGATTGCCTGTCTGCAAACATTGGCTCCTGGGAGGATTTCAATTGAAGCGGCTTTCACGTGTCACTTTTCTTGCGATTCACCAACTTCCACATGCATCTGAAGTCGTCTCAATGATGGATAGGAACAATGGGAAGAGCAAACATTACCATCAGAAGAGGAGGCAGAAAAAGCAACCTGGCTGCTAAAATTGCGTCCAGTGTCTTTCCATGTCTTTTCTCGTGCAGATTGCATAAATGTACTAGGATTTTGCTTGGGCACCCCCTCATCCAATTCCATTGCAACAAAATTTCGTCTGGGGCCGTAGTGTAACACAATATGCTTCTTGAACTGACACTGGCGTCCATGACACTTCAAGGAACAAATCTCATGTATTGTGTTCGCTTCAGCCACAGCTGCTAGTTACTAGTCTCACCATTCACGCCATTAACCACTCACACACAGAGATGGCAAAATCGCATTCCCCAAATTAAGGAAGGGCGTAGGGAACAAGACTTCAATGCACCACTGCATCGCAAGCTAGGATCTTCGAGAAATCTAGAAGCACATGGAGAAACAGTATGCAATGCTTGTCACCCAATTTCCCAGCACATCCTGCAGTGAGGTTCGCTCTCGGGTTGCAGAAGTGCAGGACATGCTTTCTCGTGCGTCTTTGCGGATTGCATTTTGATGCATTTTGAGCATTTTTTGGAACTTCCAGCTTCGGTGAAAAATGTCAGTGCTTTTGCTGAAAACTGTGTGCAATCCGCAAGACATACACCCAGTGTATATCTCTTGCCATAGCATTGTGTTGTATTGTTTCACACTTGAGCACTGCCTTGCATGTGAGCACGATATCAACGCCAGTGAGACAGTGCCAATGCAGACGCTGCAAGCCTCACAGTCCTCACAGTCCTGACGAAAGGGATCTTATGACGCGTACCCATACTATCAGGTACTACAACGATTGTGTAGCAATAAACCAGGCATTACCAATGCAGATCACTATGTCTGTATTTTCTTTTTTATTTTGCGCCGACTAAACACGTTGCACCATGGTTTGATGTTGACCTTGATTGTTTAGATGACATGAGGCAACGTACTGGTGGACAAGCCACAAAACGTGGCATAAGTGCCAAAGTGCCAGCCAGTGTCTAGCAATAATTCTCTTGAAAGTGCTATAGTGAGCGGTTCGCAACTATTTGCATTTGAAAGGAAAGCCGAGTTCTGAAGTTGACGAATCCAATCAGAGAGAGAGAGAGTTCAATAATGTTCAAAGTGAATTTCAATTGATATTAACATACAGTGTGTGAACATACACAGCAATTATAGACGTGTATCATTCACAAATCTGTTTGTATTTGTATACAATGGTGTGTATGCATGGAATGTTGTGAATGCGAATGCACATACTTGCACACGCATACGAACACACTGAAAGAGCACACAAGCCAACATCGATGTGAGCCTTCCACCACATAACATGCTCTTGCTGCCTTCATGAATGTGGTGGCTGTTTGTTGTGCAGCTTGGGAGGACAGAGGGATGCAAACCTCAACGCATTTCAGGAACTATTGCGACTATGGCACCAAACCAAAAATCCCTACAGTTGCAGTTGCCATCAGACAAGAAACAAATTATTGCATGATTCCCTCCAATTTTCTTCTGCACGCAAATAAAGCAACATAGATCTATTCCTGTGTGCAGAAAGAGACGCGGAGAGAAAGAGTGGATGCGATGAAAACATCACCTGTCTCATCTTTATAAAACTCATTGGAACTCCAAGTTTGATCATTTTCGAGTTGCATAAACTTCGTAAAATCATGTGGTGAGATGCTGGATATTTAGCTTACGATGCCATGCTTCGATCCCAGCAGCTTCAACAGGAACGTCATGCTAAGGCCTTGAGGGGAAGATAGGGGAAGATCTCCTCTAGTTCGGGAAAACCAAGATGATTTGAGATAATGTCACACAAAAACAACGAAGTCATGTGGAATCACCCTGTAGTGGTTTGTTCCTCTATCTGCATGTTTGTTTTGGCGTTGCAGCGCAGCGCTGTGGTGCCGGGTTGTGGCTACAGGGTCTTCCCCGTTAGGTTGGTAGAGATTGGCTTTGGGCTATTTGGATGTGCTGCGTCGACAACTGTTTTATGTATATGCAAGTGTGCTTCTTTATGCACTAAGTTCCCTGACAAAGATGTCCAATGTGTCCAACGTTGATGTCCAATCTTTGTGGGTTTGTTGAAGCAGATCAGAGCTGCTCTATAGTGCTTTGATTATCTTTGATTGATATGCTTTGTATAGTGCTTTCATCTTCTTTCATCTTCTTTCATATGTTTTGCTCAGGTCGTTGAGCTGCTCCAGGTCAATCCACAGATATCAGATGAAGTTGGCTGTGTTTGTTGATGGCGTTGGACCTTTCAGATTCGCATTGTACACGACTCGACGCAGTTGGCGACATCGGAGCGTGACACCACCCAGCGGCTGAAACATCTTCTGAAATCGCAAGAATTGCTGTTGAAGGCCCAAGACACGCACTTCCTGACTAGAGCAATGATGTGATGAGAGTTTGACTGTTGCTCAACGATTTGTTTTTCATTGTTTTTCATTGTTTAGAGATCCACAGGCTGATACACTTCCAGAAACTGTTGCCACCTGTTTGGGCCTCAAGAACTCAAGCACATCTCTCTGTGAATTGTGTGTTGAAGTCATCTCAACAATTTTGGAACGGATGCTTGGGCATGGAGAACGAGTCGCAGATGCCCGGAGAATCACAAGACGTATAAATACAGATATGCAGGCGCGAAAATGCATGTGTGAGAAAATATGGGAAGGAAACAAAGCGTTCAAAATCCGGATCTTTGTTCGAATCTGTTTGAAGATTCCACGCTCGAGCTTTCAGTGCTTCAATGCACTCAGGCTTAGACTTTTTCTTGAACCTTCAAGCTGATCCAGCAGCTCCCATTCGACGCTTTGCTGCCTACTTTCTTGAGCACGTGTTGCTTTTCAAGCCCGGGTCTTAATTTTTGTTGCAGTCTCTAATTACTTCTATCTTCATGCAAAGCGTTCAAAGTGTTCCAAACATTTGCCGTGTTCTTTTGAGGCCTAGTTTGTCGCTGCGTTGCTCAGTAGCTATTGCCTCCTTTCTCTCTGATAGTGACATTCTGGTCAAAGTCTCAGAGCTGCAAATTTGGTACTCAAAATTTACTGCAAAGGCAAAGTCCCACAAAGTCGAATGAGGTCGCCAAGTTCTAGATCTTATTGGGCCTAACACATGGCTTTCCCACCACATTTACTTTTTCCTCGTGGAATACCAAACGGTCTGGCTGTTTCACAACGCACCCATTCGATTATTTCTCCATATTGCTTGCACTGCCGACAATTTTCAGCTTGTTGTTTTCGTTGTTTTTTGTTAATGTTTTTCATTTGTGCAAGGTGAAAGACTTGGCACTGAAAGCTGCCTCAGTGCACCATGGCAGAGCATTGTATGCGATATCGAAGGAGTTTCCAGCGCTTCCGTTCTGAAAGTCTAAAGTTGTTGCTTAGCAGTGATGTTGTAATTTTGAGGAGCTCAACATAATCTCAACAAAAATTATATAAAACGTTCATCCCTGTGAGGAGCAAGACGCTTCAGAGAGTCAGCATGTCTCGGAGCAGCTTCGCCGGTTGCAGGAGAAGGCATGACTTGTGATGTCATGTGAGTCATGTCGCAATAAGTCGCAATTCTTCACTGGAACGGCACAAACAGAGTTCTTTCCTGTTTTCCATTGTTTTCCTGCATTTAAGGCTCGGATCCTATTGTATTCCGACGAGCCTGCCCTGGTGGCAGCAGCAGCAAGATGGGCGAAAACGGTGATCTTATCTCAGACGCCAGCCCCGGTGTTGCTTCGAGCGCGAGTACCTCCAGAGCTACGAGGCGTGAGTTGCATTCAGGACTTGTCTTTCCACGGCAGATGCACAGCAGACTCTTCTGCTCTTCAACAGCAAGCTGAACAACTCTTCGAACTCCTTTTGCAGTTGCTACAACAATCAACCTTTGGCTACAACGATTCCAAAGTGCACAAGACAAAAACCCCGTTTCTCATGGGGGTAGTGGGGTCGGTAGCAAGGCAAAGGCCCGCCATGCTGCCAGCTGCCTATGACATTTTCAAGAAAATCTTGGAGCAACCAAAAGAGGCGTTGGGAGACGAAGGCTTTGAGGAAGTGCAAAAACTTGTTTGCAACGAAGTGCAGCTCTTGCTGGCCTCCGGACTTACTTCTGAATGGCACCCAGAGCTCACTGAGTTGTTGGCAGTTGCATTGCCGCGGAAAGGCTCATTGGAAGATTTAGCCACGCAGTCCAAGTACAAGCAGATTTGCAACGCAGAGGAACGTGAGGGCCGTGAGGGCGATGAGCCTACCCGCGCAAAGAAGCGTGCTCGAAAAGACCCCAAACACGTTGGCAGCTGAGTTGACTGTGCAATGCAAACCATTGATTCCCCAACACATGCATGTTTGATCATGTTTGACATTCAAAGGATTTCAAAGGCTTACGCCTGACAGCCGGCCACCAGTTGCGGTACTGGTTGTGGCACGCGTTGTGATTCTGGTTGTGGTACTGGTTCTGGTTCTGGTTGTTGTGGTTGTTGTGTGGTTGTTGTGTAGTTGTGGATCCAACTTGGGCCATATTGAGGCAATGTTGCGGCCATGTTGGGGCCAGGTTGGAGCCATGTTGGGCCATCTTCGGGCGATGTTGGGCTTATGTTGCGGCTAGTCGGGCAAACTCGATAGAAATACAGCTGGTTGTTGAGACTAAATCCCACTAAGCCATCTTGCACTGACCATTGGGCTTCAAGATTCACCCATATTCACCCCTTTTTTCCGACACGATGACTCTTTCGACCTCCTGCCGCCTAGGTTTGGACGCAAAGTGAATCAACAGAAACATTTGGCCGAGCAAATCACTACGACGGTCATTTCGGTCATTTGGTCAGTCAGTTTACTCTGTACGATGCTGATGCGATTCTCTCTGGAGAGACTGAAGCAGGAACTGATCGACGTTTTGAAGAGTACTTCGGATTGCCAAGTCAACGAGAACCTTCTGGTCACGTGCCGGGCCCTGCCTTGCTGGCCACACGTATCAACAGTCAGGCTTCAACCTGGCCTGGGTGGGCTTGATCTAGGAAGCACATGGAAGCACTAGATACCAATGAGTCGCATATGTTTTATTGATGCTCTTGTTTTATGTCATGTAGTTACGTAATGTTACGTACGTTCATTTTTTCTCTGGATAAAATGAACTTGAAGAAAGCAATGTGATGATACTAAACATATTCTAAAAATGCTGTTTTGGTTCTGTTTGATCGGAACGTCGAGCCTTTGAAACCCGCACAGACTTCCTGATCCCTTTGGAGGGAGTCTTGTGCGTAATTTGCTTGAAGTGAAACCTTCTACAAAGACAGAAAGGAGACGGAGCGTCACAAGTGAGTCACAAGCTATGTTTTTGAGGGTTCATTGATCAGCAATGATGATTGTGGGATGAATGAGTCTGGATCTAAAGCACCACGCCCAGAAAAAAAAACGCAACCAAAACCTACCAATGGCCTAAACAAAATTTTATATGTTGAATTTGTAATTGGCTGTCTGCTCTTGTGTCAAGAGGCATGTTCGTAATGCAGCTCCACCTGGGTTGGGTTGCTTCTGCCCTTAAACATGATGCTCCTGAGGAATTTGGTGGGGTGCAAGGAAAGAAGCAAGTGTAACGGCGACTAGCTTCGTAATCTCTTGTAGTTTGATTTCTTTCAGGGTTTTTAATGGTTTTTCTGTGATTGGTGCCGTTTGAAAGGCAGAGCTTGCTCGCATCGCTCTGACCTCGTTGAGTTCTTTACCTTTGCAGAGAAGCTTACACCGAGACAGGGCTCATGAGCATGCAGTGGCATTTTCCGATGTGGTGGAAGGAACGGAAGGAAGTGGGGAAGCTCTGGCCTTGCAAGAGCAAGTGGCTTTCCTGAACGGGCAAACGAGGCAAACCAACGAAAGTGCCAACGACAAGGGTGACAAGATAGAAAGGGAGCGACAAGATGATGTCCCAGCGAGGGACAAAGACCGGGGCGACCCGAGACAGCTGGGACAGACACAACTGGATGACGAGATCTTAGAAGAGACGTACCTACTGGCAGCAGATGCAAGTCAGCTTCAGCTTCCCCAAGATCGTGCAAAGGACGCCAGCATCTCAAGGATTTTCAATGTATTGCTTTCACCAAGATTTCATAGACACCATTGTTTTTGCATGTTTTGCCTTTGTTGCATGCTACTCTGCATGCTTCTTCACTCAAGCTTTTGGATTTGTCCATGGTCTTAAGATATAGCGCTGACGTAGACAGGTGATTTCTGAGCAACTTGAGGCGCTGCAGTTGAGATTGTTTGGAGAAGTCTTGGAAAGCTACCGCAGACTCGACCTCAGTATTTTGATATTGGCTGCCACCAGGGCGCGCCGGTTGCCAACTCTGAAACTCTCACAGCTTGTAACAAGCTGTACGAAGGATAAAGAATAGTCACGGTTCAAGCATGTTCAAGCTGACACTTAGTTTTCCAAAATGTCCTTGCAATTTGCTTTTGTAGTTGTGATGGGGGCCCCCCAAGAGCAGTTTCTGTACATTGCCAAGCCTGGTAGTTTAGTGCAGATGGAATTTACTCCAAGTCTAAAGTGCCGCTCCTCAGCCCAGCTTCCGAAGGGTTCGTGTTCTCCATAGTTCTCCCGTTTTTTCAATGCAAAAGGATATGCAGCACTTTGCGGCGCTTTCCATTGTGCAGCAGAGGGGCCGCAGGATCATTTTTTTTATCTGTATTCTTATTAGTGTATATTATTGTTACTGTTGTTGTTCTTGCAATGTATATTATATTTTGATATATTTTGTGGATGTTATTATTGCATGTGTGTTTCTTATTTTTCTATCTTATGTCACCATTATAGTTGATATTACTAGTGTGCTTGATGTATCTCAATATTATTGCTGTTCTTGCCAGGATTATTTCCATTATGTGTAATTGTGGTTGTTATGTATGTTGTTGTTCCTATTACATACTTATGTCATCTTATATCATCTTATATCCTTACATTAATCCTTTAACATTTATTACTGTATACAAAACTTTTACTTATACTTATAAATATATATATATACTTACATGCTTGCGTACGTATGTATGTACGTACACATACATACCTACGTACCTACATACCTGCGTATCTACCTGAGTACGTATGTATGTACATACATACATACATACATACATACATACATACATACATCCGTACATACATCCGTACGTACCTACAATGTTCACAACCACAACTCACATGCAGTACTCAGTGATTGAACGTGTGAGAAAAGTGCAGACGGATTAATTCTGCCTGTCGCTAGGAATGGAGTCGTCACTCATGAAGCAGAGTTTTCTACCTTCACAGCTGGCCTCCTATGAGCAGATGAGTCGACAGGCAATCGCTGAGATGGGTTGTCTTTAGATAGTCTACCCATGATGGTGTTTGATCCTTGCGTGATACTCCGTGAAATCTTATCTTCAAGCGTCTCAATGTGTCTCAACGTTTTTTGCTAGCGCTGGAGGTGTCCCTTCACTTGGCTGCCGGATATAGGACTTTCCCATACTTCTACCATAGTTTTAATTATTTTCAAATTGCAGATTCAATGCCGTGAGGAAGATACGGTTTGCATAGGAGGCGATGAGCACATTGTTCGCACTCGTTTGCCGCAGGACTGCGGCGCATCCTGATTTGCAGCGATCGATGCAGAGAGCTGAGTACTGCTGAGTATTCTCCATGCATTCTCTGTATTCTCAGTGAGCCGGACCTCAGAGCTTGCAGGGTCAATACTTTCAGCTGACAAGAATGGTTTCGGCCACTGAGGTGCCAGGCTTATGTGTTGCGGACCTTCGACTCCTTTCAGGTCAGCATCGGTCAGCATCAGTCAGTTCTGTCTCTCACTTGTCCCATGTGTCAAAAACATCCACCCTTTTGATATGCGGATGTTCGATCAATGTTCGATCAGTACTTCTAGCGATTTCTAGCGATTAGGTTTCCCCGATTCCAGTGACTGCTGTGTCGCCTTTGTAGGCAGTAACCTTGGACATGACCACCTCGCAAGTCCATAGATTGTGAATTCTTCTCACCAAATATTCATCGATATTCTATTCTAGACGACACTACCAATCTCAAAAAGCAACTTCAGTATTGATGAAATATCGAATTGCATCATATTGCATCTTCATGGCAGCAAGCAATATACGAAGCACTGGGGGATGTGGCATCAAGAAAAGCAAAGGAAGACATGAAGCACTGGACTTTGGGACATGACAACAAATGAGAAGAGGAGGAAGTAAATCCTCAGGGGTACTTGGATTTCCTGACGGAGATTGGGACGGATCCCTCCACAGTCTTGCGATGAATTTCCGATCGAGTCTAGGTCCCTTCAACACCACAAAGGTACTCAAAGGTATGCATAGGTCCATAGTTCATAGGTATATATAGACACTATATAGATGAGTGTGGCGTAGGCGCTTTCACATTCAAATCAGCGCAGCACCCACTATCTTCAATTTCTGCAGGCCTCCTTACAGGCTGGCAACAAGGTTGGTCTGTGCTATGGTTACTGACAAAGATGACAGGCTTCATATGTTTTCAGTGTTTCATGCTGCGAAGATCCATTCCGATCTCTGATAGGGCACGGCCATGGAACAGTTAGTGGAGCTGTTCTTCTCCAAGTTTGCTACAGATGTAGCTCGTTGGCAGGAGACTTCCATTATTACACCCCTTTTCATGCTTGGTTAGTTTCATGAATTGCAACGTAAACTTGACTTGTCACCTGGGAAGGAGTCCCCAGGAGCAGTTCCACTTCGCGAAATGCTGGAGGTGTCAAACCGTTGAAAAGCTGATGCAGCTGACACACCTTGACGCCTGTTGAAAGTTGAAACCTGCCACGGGCACAAAGTCCAGGCAGCCTCTTCACGCCGTTTGGCCGCTTCAAACTTTACTTATGCGGAGCCATCCGGGAGGTTTGATTTGGTTTGATTTGGTTTGATTTGGTTTGATATTGCATTTTGAGAACCTGCTACAAATCAAGTAGGCAATAGTTGGCAGATCTGGGCATTGCCTCTCTGCACTTCCATTGACTTACCCTTTCCTCAAGAATGGATAGTGCTTGAATGTGTTTGACATGTTTGAAGTGTTTGATGGTTTTGCAGTTTCCCTTTTTTGAGGAGCTCTTTGACATGTGCCTGGCAGAGTTCGAGAAGCGTGACGTACCAAGGCAGTATCACAGTATATTGAGCAAAGATTCAGTCTTGTGACTTGGAAATGGGTTGAAAGCTTGCGAGTGTTTCCGGATCATTGCTTTGAAGGAAGCTCTATGATTCAAACAAAATCAATTTAAGCTTGAACTTGCTCATTTGGAGCAGAAATAAACCAGGAAATCTGTCATTGAGCCTCAAACACGCTCAACGGCTTCACAGATCATGTTCCACGTCTATTGGTCTACAAACCTTAGCAGAAACAAATGGACAAAGACGGATTCAGAAACTACGCCGGATTCAGAAACTAGGGATTCAGAAACTGCTCGTCGGATTCAGAAAATAAACGTGGTATTCAGAAACTATTTTGTGGGATTCAGAAACTATTTCGTCGGATTCAGAAACTACTCGTGGTATTCAGAAACTATTTCGTGGTATTCAGAAACTATTTCGTGGTATTCAGAAACTATTCGTAGTATTCAGAAACTATTCGTAGTATTCAGAAACTATTTCGTGGTATTCAGAAACTATTTCGTGGTATTCAGAAACTACTCGTGGTATTCAGAAACTATTCGTAGTATTCAGAAACTATTGTCGTCGGATCAGAAACTGCTCGTGGTATTCAGAAACTATTTTCGTAGTATTCAGAAACTATTTCGTCGGATTCAGAAACTACTCGTGGTATTCAGAAACTATTTTTGCAGTATTCAGAAACTATTTTCGTCGGATTCAATGCTGACTCTATGGTTTCTCCCAGCAATGATTATGGTATCCCAGCAACTATTCAAAACCGCCACCCCCCCTCTGGCCAATACGATGCATAGGATCTTAACTTGAACTTATCTTCATGAGGGATCAAGACTGCCACCCCCTCTGGCCAATACATTGAATAGGATCTTAACGAAACTTAGCGAATAGGATCTTAACTTGAACCTATCTTCATGAGGGATCAAAACTGCCACCCTCTCTGGCCCATACATTGAATAGGATCTTAACTTCAACTTTTCCCCAGGAGAGATCAAAACTGCCACCCCCTCTGGCCAATACGATAAATAGGATCTTAACTTGAACTTATCTTCATGAGGGACAAAGCCGCCATCCCCTCTGGCCAATACATTGAATTGGATCTTAACCTCAACTTTTCTCCAGGAGGGATCAAAACTGCCACCCCCGCTGGCCCATACATTGAATAGGATCTTAACTTCAACTTTTCTCCAGGAGGGATCAAAACTGCCACCCCCTCTGGCCAATACATTGAATAGGATCTTACCTTGAAATTATCTTCATGATGAATCAAAACTGCCACCCCCTCTGGCCAACACGGTGCATAGGATCTTCACTTGAACTTATCTTCATGAGGCATCAAAACTGCCACCCCCCTCTGGCCAATACATTGAATAGGATCTTAACGAAACTTAGTGAATAGGATCTTACCTTGAACCTATCTTCATGAGGGATCAAAACTGCCACCTCCTCTGGCCAATACGATAAATAGGATCTTAACTTGAACTTATCTTCGTGAGGGACAAAACCGCCATCCCCTCTGGCCAATACATTGAATAGGATCTTAACCTCAACTTTTCTCCAGGAGGGATCAAAACTGCCACCCCCTCTGGCCCATACATTGAATAGGATCTTAACTTCAACTTTTCTCCAGGAGGGATCAAAACTGCCACCCCCTCTGGCCAATACATTGAATAGGATCTTACCTTGAAATAGAATGGGCTAGCGCCCGGGTGCCGCCGACCCCCCCCTATTTGGGGGGTCCTGCAGAGAGAGGGAGAGAGATAGATGGATGGATGGATGGATGGATGGATGGATAGATAGGTAGAGAGATAGAGAGAGAGAGAGAGAGAGAGATAGACAGATAGATAGATAGACAGTTGGATAGACAGATAAGTAGATGGAGAGATAGATGGATAGATAGCTGGATGGATAGATAGATAGATGGATAGATAGATAGAGAGGGAGAGATAGATAGAAGGGGAGAGAAAGATAGAGAGGGAGAGATAGATAGATAGAGAGGGAGAGATAGATACTCCGACGGCATCCGACGGCATCAGCGGTTCAGTGGGTCAGTGGCGCGTCGCTTCCGGCGGGCCGTGCTGAGGTCGATGGTGGTACATGGTGGGACAGACATGGACATATATGTTTTGATATGCCCCAACATGCCGCAATTCAATTTGCCACACAATGTGCAATGTGTATGCAATGAGTATGACGCTACAAATTTGAAGTCAGACCTCAGTTCATATTTTTAAGCATATTTGGCATCCTATCATTGTATGATTGGTGGTAGAGTATCATTGATTTTGAAACTCAAGGATAATCAAGGGTACTGATCTCCGGGATTGAACCACCCTAAAAGGACAATGCCGGGGCTGGCAAACGGCATGGGAGCTGCAGGGAAGCATTTGAGGGTTTTGCGGGCTGGCAGACGGCAGGCTTGAACCACCATAAAAGGACAATGCCGGGGCTGGCAAACGGCATGGGAGCTGCAGGGAAGCATTTGGGGGGTTTTGCGGGCTGGCAAACGGCAGGCTTGAACCACCATAAAAGGACAATGCCGGGGCTGGCAAACGGCATGGGAGCTGCAGGGAAGCATTTGGGGAGTTTTGCGGGCTGGCAAACGGCAGGCTTGAACCACCATAAAAGGACAATGCCGGGGCTGGCAAACGGCATGGGAGCTGCAGGGAAGCATTTGGGGGGTTTTGCGGGCTGGCAGACGGCAGGCTTGAACCACCATAAAAGGACAATGCCGGGGCTGGCAAACGGCATGGGAGCTGCAGGGAAGCATTTGGGGGGTTTTGCGGGCGGGCAAACGGCAGGCTTGAACCACCATAAAAGGACAATGCCGGGGCTGGCAAACGGCATGGGAGCTGCAGGGAAGCATTTGGGGGGTTTTGCGGGCTGGCAAACGGCAGGCTTGAACCACCATAAAAGGACAATGCCGGGGCTGGCAAACGGCATGGGAGCTGCAGGGAAGCATTTGGGGGGTTTTGCGGGCGGGCAAACGGCAGGCTTGAACCACCATAAAAGGACAATGCCGGGGCTGGCAAACGGCATGGGAGCTGCAGGGAAGCATTTGGGGGGTTTTGCGGGCTGGCAGACGGCAGGCTTGAACCACCATAAAAGGACAATGCCGGGGCTGGCAAACGGCATGGGAGCTGCAGGGAAGCATTTGGGGGTTTTGCGGGCGGGCAAACGGCAGGCTTGAACCACCATAAAAGGACAATGCCGGGGCTGGCAAACGGCATGGGAGCTGCAGGGAAGCATTTGGGGGGTTTTGCGGGCTGGCAAACGGCAGGCTTGAACCACCATAAAAGGACAATGCCGGGGCTGGCAAACGGCATGGGAGCTGTAGGGAAGCATTTGGGGGGTTTAGGCTTGAACCACCATAAAAGGACAATGCCGGAGCTGGCAAACGGCATGGGAGCTGCAGGGAAGCATTTGGGGGGTTTTGTGGGCTGGCAAACGGCAGGCTTGAACTCCCTGAAAAACAGATGGCAGGGGCATGTAGCTGTAAGAGTTGTTGCCTTGGAGGCCTGCGGAAGCGTTTGGAGGGTTTCAGGCCGGTCAAACGGCAGTCTTGAACTCCCTGAAAAACAGATGGCAGGGGCATGTAGCTGTAAGAGTTGTTGCCTTGGAGGCCTGCGGAAGCGTTTGGAGGGTTTCAGGCCGGTCAAACGGCAGTCTTGAACTCCCTGAAAAACAGATGGCAGGGGCATGTAGCTGTAAGAGTTGTTGCCTTGGAGGCCTGCGGAAGCGTTTGGGGGGTTTGAGGCCGGGCAAACGGCAGTCTTGAACCCCCTGAAAAACAGATGGCAGGGGCATGTAGGTGTAAGAGTTCGGCAGGAGCATGTAGATGGCTGGGGCATGTAGCTGGCAGAGGTGTTGCCTTGATGGCGTGTGCCTTTGCTTGCGACCCGAGAGCCAAGTTCCACACCTCCGGTGGTCCCAGGCGCCGCCCCTGCCTTGGCAAAGGCCGGGGTCGGCGGATTATCTTCATGATGAATCAAAACTGCCACCCCCTCTGGCTAATACTATGAACAGGATCTGAACTTGAACTTATCTTCATGAGGGATCAAAACTGCCACCCCCTCTGGCCCATACATTGAATAGGATCTTAACGAAACTTATTGAATAAGATCTTACCTTGAACCTATCTTCATGAGGGATCAAAACTACCCCCCCTTTGGCCAATACGAGAAATAGGATCTTAACTTTTGTTGCTTATCTTCAGAGGGACAAAACCGCCATCCCCTCTGGCCAATACATTGAATAGGATCTTAACCTCAACTTTTCTCCAGGAGGGATCAAAACTGCCACCCCCTCTGGCCAATACATTGAATAGGATCTTACCTTGAAATTATCTTCATGATGAATCAAAACTGCCACCCCCTCTGGCCAATACGGTGCATAGGATCTTAACTTGAACTTATCTTCATGAGGCATCAAAACTGCCACCCCCCTCTGGCCAATACATTGAATAGGATCTTAACTTAGCGAATAGGATCTTACCTTGAACCTATCTTCATGATGAATCAAAACTGCCACCCCCTCTGGCCAATACGGTGCATCGGATCTTAACTTGAACTTATCTTCATGAGGGATCAAAACTGCCACCCCCTCTGGCCCATACATTGAATAGGATCTTAACTTCAACTTTTCTCCAGGAGGCATCAAAACTGCCACCCCCTCTGGCTAATACTATGAACAGGATCTGAACTTGAACTTAAGTTCCTGAGGGATCAAAACTGCCACCCCCTCTGGCCAATACGATGCATAAAATCTTCACTTGAACTTATCTTCATGAGGGATCAAAACTGCCACCCCCTCTGGCCCATACATTGAATAGGATCTTAACGAAACTGATTGAATAGGATCTTACCTTGAACCTATCTTCATGAGGGATCAAAACCTTCATCCCCTCTGGCCAATACGATGAATAGGGTCTTGACTTGAACTTAACTTCATGAGGGATCAAAACTGCCACCTCCTCTGGCCTATATAATGCGTTAGGGGTAAACCTGCCCAAAGAGTCATCATCCGATACACTTACGTGGTACCGCCCTAATTGAATCATATACGTTACATGTTACTACGCTGCTGAGATCTCCGGGATCGTTGCTACGTTGCTTGTTACTGCGCTGCTGGGATCTCTGGGCTCGTTGCTACGTTACTTGTTACTACGCTGCTGATGGGGTAGGGTGGGGTAGGGGGGGCATGTCAACGTTCCTTGAACTTCGTACGTTATAGTGTGCTACACTGCTGAGATCTCTGGGATCGTTGCTACGTTACTTGTTACTACGCTGCTGATGGGGCGGGTGGGGTGGGGTAGGGGGGGCATGTCAACGTTCCTTGTACTTCGTACATTATAGTGTGCTACGCTGCAACGATCTGTGGGATCTAAAACTACGTTACATGTTACTACGCTGCTGGGATCTCTGGGACCTTACTACGTTACTTGTTACTACGCTGCTGAGATCTCTGGGATCGTTGCTACGTTACTTGTTACTACGGGTTTCCAGTTTCCAATGATATGAGTTTCCAAATACCAATCTCAGTTTCCGAATACCTTTTTCCAGTTTCCGAATACGACTCCCAGTTTCCGAATACCACTTTCCAGTTTCCGAATACCACTTCCAGTTTCCGAATACCAGTTTCCGAATACCACTCCCCAGTTTCCGAATACCACTGTCCAGTTTCCGAATACCACTGTCCAGTTTCCGAATACCACTGTCCAGTTTCCGAATACCACTGTCCAGTTTCCGAATACCACTTCCAGTTTCCGAATACCAGTTTCCGAATACCACCTCCAGTTTCCGAATACCACTCGCCAGTTTCCGAATACCACCGTGACCGAAACAAATAGAAACAAGGTTGGATATGTTTCGACCAATTCACTACTAGAAGAACAAAAAAGTGTCAGTTTTGATTGTTCAGTGACTCTCCCGCTTTGTTTGTGCGTATTGTCTTGGGTTTCTTGTCTCTCAAGCGGTGGTTGAGTGTGGATCATTGGTTGGTGACGAATGGGAGGCGAGAATTGCGAAGTTTTCTGGGAGAACTTCCAGCTATTCCTTCCTCTGCGTTTCGAGCACTGGAAGCCCAATGCCAATTGGCTGGGGCTGGAAGCCCAATGTCGAAGCAATATGAAGCAATGAAGCAATGTGTCATGCAATGCCTCTTGAGACTGTTTGAGAATTCAGTAATTTTAGTCATGTTCAAATGTGTCTTAGAGTAATGTTCATTGTTCATTAAGTCTTGGTTTGGTTTAGTATGCCTTAGAGTGTCCTGGACTCTTAGACTGTGTCAGTGTGTGACCAAGGCACGGAAGATGGCATTGCTTACCATCCTCGCCTTGATAGAAGGCAGAAACCGACAGAAACCGACAGAAACCAACAAGATCGTGTTGAAGCCTTGGCATAGTTATGCATGGTCTCGCAAATGGAGATATAATGAGAGAGGCATGACAAGGCCAATTGATGCATAATGATTCTAGAATATTCTAGATGTAGAGCGACGCGAAATATTAAACTCTTGAAGAAGGATCCCGGAGAATCATTCGGAGGATCATCAAGGAAATCAGCAGGCGCAGATGCCTTAATCATGATCCGTAATGATGTTTTTTGATGTTTTTTGTTCAACCACGTCGTTTGCGCGTTTGGTCTGCAAGGCAAACCCGCTTGTCGATGGCGCGGTTTGAGCCTCCTCTTTAAGCTTGCCTTTTCGGCCGGTGAGGAGAAAAGCTTCGCTTTGGCTGTCCTTGAACTCCATCAAGGTCCACGAACCACGCCATATCATGCCACATCTATACGTATACTTGTAGTATCTTGTAGTCATTCACATGTTTGCCACTTCATGATACTTCATGCCATGCTTTCGCTGTGCGAAATATATGTAAAAGAGCTTGGAATGTTGCTCTATTTGTGTGTGTGAACCATCTGTAAAGATGTAAAACTTCTTACTTAGCAGGGGGTGGTAGCAGGGTCCAGAGTCTACCACCAACGAAGACGCTCTGGTTTCCCTGGTGATACATGGCCTGATCAGCCATGCGTACCTGCCAATTTTTCAGAAATGGGAAGAGGCTCAACCCAAGAACCTCCATGTCGTTTATTTGAATTTTCTTTTCACTGCACTGTTGTCGCAATCTGGAATTACTTTCGATCAAATTTGTATGGTCCGGCTACATCTGAACCTTTCTCAGAGCAAGGACGTAGAAAGCATACTTCGCACTGAAGTTCTCGTCGAGTCAACCAATCTTTCCTGTCAGTTTGTAGGGATTGTTTTGTGCACGAACGATGCACTCCACAACAAAATTCGCAATGATGTTTCTGAGCAAGTGTGTCACTCATACCGTTGTCCGACAAGGTGGTATGAGCCCTTCGGGGAAGGCCTTTCTAGGCTAAGAATTGACGGTAACTCGATGTCGGAATTTACACTTTTGAATAAGTAATTCGTCTAAGTAAAGTGAACTGCTGGCCTTTTTTCCGTTTTTCACCCGTCGGTCGAGTGAGTGTTGAAACTGCTGGCTGCTGTCCTTAGCCTCTCCTTTTTATGGATCTGCATAGCTGGAAGCCACGACAACAATTCTTCTGTTTTTCTCAAGAGACTGTCCGCGGCCATTTTACATGAACAGGCAACAGGACATCCTTGCAGGTATGGTTCTTCTTTCTTATGGTCGTTGGTGAGGTTCAATTGTGCACGTAATTCATTTGAACACTGACAGCCGTCGATGGGGTTGACTTGAAAGCCGAGGGCCTTTGAGCCTTATCACGAATACTGCATGCGTTGTGGATGCATCATGTCTTTAACTTGTTCCCCATGGGTCCCCTTTTCTTCCTTTTTCATGTGTTCTTGCGTTCTCCTCCCTCCAGGTAGGTTTGGCCCGTTGCGTGCTGAGGTTGTTGTAGGTTTGCGCCGTGCCAGGTTGGTTCAGGCGCTTCTGTCTTCCCCCTCCTCCGCTGGTCTTGTTCCGTGTCCGTCGTCCCTCCGCTTTTTCTTTTCCCTTGCCTTTTCAGGGTTCGCCCGCTCCGGGCTAGGTTTCATGTGTTGGTGTTTTCTCCTTCCCTCTTCTTTTGCGTTCCCCTCTTTGCGTCCTGGTTACGTAACTTTCATCTCATTGTCATCTTCACCTCATTTTCATTTCCCTTCTTCTTCATTTTCATCTCATGGTCGGGACCTTATTTTCTCACCCTCCTGCGGGAGGGTGTGTGTGTGTGTGAACCATCTGTAAAGATGTAAAACTTCTTACTTAGCAGGGGGTGGTAGCAGGGTCCAGAGTCTACCACCAACGAAGACGCTCTGGTTTCCCTGGTGATACATGGCCTGATCAGCCATGCGTACCTGCCAATTTTTTCAGAAATGGGAAGAGGCTCAACCCAAGAACCTCCATGTCGTTCATTTGAATTTTCTTTTCACTGCACTGTTGTCGCAATCTGGAATTACTTTCGATCAAATTTGTATGGTCCGGCTACATCTGAACCTTCCTCAGAGCAAGGACGTAGAAAGCATACTTCGCACTGAAGTTCTCGTCGAGTCAACCAATCTTTCCTGTCAGTTTGTAGGGATTGTTTTGTGCACGAACGATGCACTCCACAACAAAATTCGCAATGATGTTTCTGAGCAAGTGTATGATGTGCAGTGCAGGATGGGGTTCGCTTCGACACCATTCGCTTGATCATCAACAAGATATATTCGGGTCCAAAAAGTCCTATGCGTCTCCAGCCAAGAAACTGTCAAGCGGGGCTGGCATGTCAACAGGCAGGTGGCAATTTCAACAATCTTTTCGGATAGTCCTGGATTCTGAGAGCAAAAAGTCTCGAGTCTCGATCTACATCCCAAGAGACTGGAGATGACTGGAGGCATTTGAGGTAGAGAGTTTAAGAATGTTTAAGAGCGTTTGTTTATTTACATTTAAGTATATTTCTATAATTTTCTGTATATTTCTTATGCCTGCATGATCCAATGGTAAAGTCATTTCCGAGAAAGCAGCGCGCCTCAGGTTGGCAGCTTCCGCACTTGTCTGATGCGGAAGTCCGGGGTCTTCTCGATGAGGCCCCATGCAGACCTCAGAACCAAGCAGAAACAAGCAGTTGTCGCTTACGCCGCTTGAACCCTTGAGACTTGACACATCTTGAATCATCTTGATAAGTTGTTGGATGTTGTTGGTTTCCATGTAAAACGGTTTCGATTCGATGCGCGCCAGGACAGCAACGGCTCAGGATGGGAGCTTCCAGATCCAGACTTTCTGCCCTTGAACAGGTGCGAGTTTGCCAAGCTATTCATCTATCAGATCTATCAGCTTGACCCTGGCTTTACCCTGGCTTTACCCTATACATCCCTACATTATCTATTGCTTGTTTTGCTAGCATATACGGACTATTTGTATCTATTTGTGGTGAGGGTGACTCCTGGGGTGACGTTGGGTGGTTTTACGACCGAAAGATGGGCAGGTTTATCCAAGCATATCCGGCATATCCAAGCTTATCATGTGTTTTTGCGCCCATAACGGCCAAAGTTGGTTCCTTCCATGGTCCTGGTGTGGTGCACAGCTTGCGGCTGTAGCCCACACCCTGAATGCCACACCCGTATGACATGATGAGCATGGTGTTGAGAGCTGTTAATGTTTGCCAGTCAGTGGGAAGACATGAAGTTAACACATCTTTTTTGCATGGTCTCGCTTTCTTGGCTGGTTTTGGGAGTGGTCTTTGTGTATGCAATTGTGTGGTTTTAGTGAAACGGACTAGCACACGAATGATCCTTTAAACAGATTAATTAGTCAAGGAGCAGCCTTTATTCACAACATGTCTCTGATATTATCCCTGGACTTAAGTTATTCTGTAGTTTGTGTGTGTGACCCGATCTATAATGAAATTCTAGTTAATTAAGCAAATGTGTGCTGTTTCTGAAGTGTTTCTGTTAATCTGAGCTCATTCGACGAAACTCGAAGCATGTGATGACAAAGTGAATTCAACAAGGACCTCTTAACACGTATCAAATCAAATCGGGGAGTCTGAGAACATTTTGGGAAAACAACCGACTGGGGCTTCGCTCAAAAACTTGATTACACTTTCACTTTCACATTAAAGTGCTTCACAATCTTTTAATATACTTTTTATCTGTTTCTGACATGCACGAACTACAGGATACGCATTCCTGTGTAAATGCTCTTGTTTGTAGATGAATGCTGCTCTTCCTCAATGCATACGTTGGCATGATTGCAGGACTGTCTAGAAGGACTAGTAACATCTAGAACTAGGTGTAGACTTTGAATCTGTGCGATATGTATTCCAATCTCTGGAAGGAATAGAACTGATGAGAGGAAAGCTGCTCTGTTTGTTCTTGGGCAATTGCTCAACTTCATGCACTTTCTTGTATCAGTACAGCACTATCCGAGAAGAATGTAGCTTTTGGCTACAGAAGTATACCTTCTAAACGGAATGCCACACTGAGAGCTGCTCTTCAATGGTACATTTCCTTGCAGGAATAGGCGTGTTTTCTTATGAAACGCTACTTTCTAAAGGAAGGCTGCAGCTTCTGCAGAAAATAGTACATTTGTCTTGGACTTGGACTTTCTGAAGCTGACGCTGGGCTTTGTAAACTGAATCATTTTTGCCAATGCCTGTTCTGATGAAAAAATAAGAAATGCCGTTCTCACAGTGATCATACGTACATTCTGAAAGTAAGAACACTTTTTGTTAGAAAAGCTCCGCTTTTCACTGAAATTGCAAATGGGGTGCTGCAAATGCTTACACTTGCACGCTTTCCAGTTGCAGCGCTTATGATGACAGGCTTCGTTTCATAACCACTGCACTGCCATGCACTGCCTCATCGGAATGCTGCTTTTGTTCTTTGGCGCATCCTTTCTCCCCTCTTGAAGGAATCTTGTACGAGGTGAAGTTGGGTAAGCCAGTAAGCCACGTCTCTGTTTCTGGCATGAAGGTCCCTTAGCAGGATTTCAGGCTGAAGTGCTTGTGCCTTCTAGGTGTAAGCACATTGCTTCGTTTTGTGGTTGGCATGTTCCATTCATGGGGATTTGGCATCTCCCCAAAATGGGTAGACACTATGCACCATTTTACACCAAAACAATCCAAAACATAAACAGGTATGCTGTGTACCAGTAGTACCGCACAAGGCGGTGGCGGAAGTTTCAAAAATAGGAAACCTATAGGAGAGGTTGGTTGTTGTGAATCAGGGATGGCAGAGCGAAGCCACTGATGGACTGAAAGGTGCTTGATCTCTCTCACTCTTTCTATCTCTTTCTCTGACTATCTACCTACCTACCTACCTATCCATTTTCTATGTATCTATCTATCTATCGATCTATCTATCTATCTCACTCTCTCTCTCTCTCTCTCTGCCTCTCTGTCTCTTTCATCTAATTACCCAATCTATCTATCTATCTATCTATCTATCTCTCTCTCTCTCTCTTTCATCTGTCTATCTGTCTATCTGTCTAGCTGTCTACCTGTCTATCTATCTATCTATCTATCTATCTATTTATCTATCTATCTGTCTGTCTATCTGTCTATCTGTCTATCTGTCTATCTGTCTATCTGTCTACCTGTCTACCTGTCTATCTGTGGTGCAGTGTCATTCGGTGTATTGTAGTGTAGTGTAGTGGAGTGTAGTGGAATGTAGTGTAGTGTAGTGTAATGTAGTGTAGTGTAGTGTAATTTCGTGTAGTGGAGTGTAGTTGTGTAGCCGTAGTTGTAGTTGTAGTGTAGTGGAGTGTAGTGTAGTGTAATGTAGTGAAGTGTAGTGGAAGGTAGTGTAGTGTAATGTAGTGTAGTGTAGTGGAGTGTAGTGTAGTGGAGTGGAGTGTAGTCTAGGGTAAAGTAGTGTAGTGTAGTGTAATTTAGTGTAGTGGAGTGTAGTGGAGTGTAGTTGTGCAGTTGTAGTTGTAGTGTTGTGGAGCGTAGTGTAATGTAGTGTAGTGGAGTGTAGTGTAATTTAATGTAGTGTAGTGTAGTGGAGCGTAGTGTAGTGTAATGTCGTGTAGTGCAATTTAATGTAGTGGAGTGTAGTGCAGTGTAGTCTAGTTGTGTAGTTGTAGTTGTAGTGTTGTGGAGTGTAGTGTAGTGTAATGTAGTGTAGTATAGTGGAGTGTGGTGTAATGTAACGTAGTGTAGTGTAGTGAAGCGAAGCGGCGAAGCGACATCTGAACCTCCAAAAGTGGTCCGAACCCCTAGTGCTTTGTACATGTTCACTTCGACATGTGCTTCGCGCCACAACGGCGTGCACTTTTTCGACATCTGAACCTCCAAAAGTGGCGCGAACATTTTGTACATTTTCACTTCGAAATGTGCTTCGTACCACAACGGCGTGCATTTTTTCGACATCTTAACTTCCAAAAGTGGTCCGAGAATGGTGCGTTTTGTACATTTTGACTTCGAAATTGGCTTCGCGCCACAACGGCGTGCACTTTTTCGACATCTCAACTTCCAAAAGTGGTCCGACCATGGTGTGCTTTGTACATTT